AGTTTGGTTTCCCGCTGACTTTTTCACTTAAATTGTTTGCTTTTGTTTGTGTTTGCTCAGTGAAAAATTCCTTAGTTGTCGCTGTTGTTGTTTCTTAATTAGAGAGCGGTCCACACAAAACTTCAGCTATCGACATCATTTAGCCAACAGCACGACTCACGCTGTCAGCGCATTTCATCCAGACACTTTCTAAGCAAACATTTTGATCAGATAACAAGTCAATTAGGTCTGGACACGATTTGAGCATAATGTGTTAAGCTAGAGAGCATACGATAATCATAATGATACTGCTATGTTGTGTTACGTTACATTGTACGACAGATAATGTTTATTAGCATATGATAGAAATTGAAGCTGCCTTTGCATTCAATTTCGAAGCGACTAACTGCACAAATCTGCAATTTGTCTAAGCTCGAAGAGCAAGGCAAAGACAATTTGGCCCAAACTCTGGCCTACTTATTACAACTTTAGCTTCATCGAGCTTTCAAAGGGCTCTTTAGCACTCATTCTCTAGGCAATTTAGCTTACATACGAAACTGAAACTCAATTAGCTTGATATTTATATAAAGATATATATCGGTGGGGGCAGAGATATTTAGTGAAAAATTGCCTTAATTTAAGGCACACACAAAAAGCGCGCACAGAAAATGTTTCCAGCAGAAACAAAAGTGAAAACTTTCACTTTTGATATTTGTGTAGAGCGCAACATTTATGTTTAGTCGGGTTTTTTTTTATTTTTTCTTTATACCACACGATTTAAAATCTGACTGCCCTGCGACTGTTATTTCTTTGATATTACCATAAATTTGAATTTCGTTTACATCATCAACGAGCCAAGCGGCCAAGCGGGCAAGCGACGACGTCGACGATGACGACCTCTCTCGGCGCTTCTCATGTATAAAGAATTGTTGAAAACTAAGGCTGGGCCTTTCTTTGGGCCAGGCCACAATACAGAAAAGACAACTCGTCGGGCATTGCGTGTGTGTGAGGTTTTGTGTATTTTAATGCGATAATTTAAAACTTTTTCGCTTTCATTTCGCTTAAGCTTTGGCTATTAATCAGTTATGACTCTTCAGTCTTGATACTACAAGTTAACCTTTTTCCAAATGCCGCCGACGCTTGAAGAATCTCCTCCAGACAATTGATTGCGCAAGCTGCGAGCCCCCCACTCGGCTGCCACACCAGGCCCATTTATCTTACAGTTTTTCAATTAAACTTTGTTTATTTCTACGTTACATGGTTTTGTTGTTGTGTTTTCTGTTTTCTGGTTTTTTCCCTTACTCTGCATAGATAACAATTTAATTTTTGCCATTTGCCCCGTTTCCAATTGCTGCCCGAACCTTGTGTTCGGGCTAACATGCATGCTAAATTGTTCAGATAAAAAGCAAAGTACATTGCGGAAATACCAAATGCAAAAACATGCGGGCTAGTGAACTCCAAAGTTATATAGATACCTAAAACGTAGAACTACTGAACTAAATTACATCAGAATTGCTTGAAATTCACTAGAAATCAGCACTTCAAAATCTTCAACAAAAGTGCGAACTGCTTACGACAGAAGTCAGCTCTGTGAAGGGTTGCCAACAAATTGTGTGAAGGGAAGTACGCATACCAGAAATGTCTTGGAAAATGTAAATTTAAATACATATTCTAGATACTTGATGAAAAGAGACCCTATATGTGTACCTTTTTGTATATTTGCAATTAACTTTCGTTGGCTTTGCAACCCAGTTATCTATAGACATCTGAAATTCTTTTGTGCCTGTGAATGAACCATGAGCTATGAGCGGCTTTAAGTAAAAAATAAAGCCCTTTTATTCTCAGCGGCACTCATAACCCACTTACAACAAAGGGCGACCACCAATGGGCTAAATGAGCTATTTTTAGAGACGAGTTGGCCATTTTTTGCTCTCTTTCAGCGTGTTGATTTTTCCAAGCACTTTGAAAATATTTCAATGGAATTTCTTTCGGAACGACACCTTCGCAAAGCTCAGCCAGTCAACAATAATAGCCCTGAACTTTCGTTGGGTTGTTAACTTGTTGCTTGTTGTTGTTGTTGTTGTTGTTTCGGTTGCATTCGCTCCACATGTGTACAGCTGTTTTTAATTTAAAACTTTATTTCAAACTGAAATGAAACTTGTTTTCCAGCATTTTTGTTTCTCTTTTTTTGCAGTGGGTGCAGTTGTTGCTCTGTCTACTGCCCATATTATATTTTATTATATTTTCGTGCTCCCTCGAATATTTCTTGTTTTTGAACTTGACGAAAATATCGACAAAAAAGGCCACCAAATATCTAGTCTAAGCAGATCGCAACTTAAATACTCTAGCATTTTGTCAATGAGTGTTTTTTCGGCATTTATTATATATTAAAGAATTATAATATGTAATTTAAATAATTTAAAATTTAAAAATTAATTTAAAAACATAAAAAGAATTCCATACAAATTGTTTTTTTTATATATTTGTGCTAGATATTTAAATATTAAAAGAATTGTTGACATGCAAAGAGAAAATTGAAATCACATCAGGCTAAGCTACAATGTACTGAAATACTAAAGAATGTTAATACGAATTTAATATAAAAATGCTAATTTTAAGAGTAATATATACAATATATGATATTTCGACTTGAATAAATCGATTTCGACATCTAAACTGAGTGCACTAAGAAGATAATGTTGAGCTGGGATTAGTTAGACATAATATGTCTTTATGTTACCAAATTGATGAAATTATGTCAATACCCTTTAAAGGGGATATATAATAAGAGTAATACATATAAATAAGCAAAAGTGACTTTGTGTTGGCATTAATTTACAGTGGTCGATGGAACATGTTTAATGCATTTCATATGCATTTTTCTTTGTCAATAATTTAATTTTCGGAATTTCAAGTTCCCAACAGATCAGATTCGCTATCTCACTCTAAACATATATATATATATATATATATATATATATATATATATCTTTCTCTCTCTTAGTCAGTGTCTCTCTTCTTTCCTTGTTGTGATTTTTTTCCGATTTTATTTATGTGATTTGCATTTGCTTTTGTTATATTGCCTTTTGCCTTTTGCTTTCGATTTTCGCCTTTATTTTTGTTTAATTATTTTCATGTATTTAGTTATTAACGCTTTATTTTGCTGCTGGTTTTTGCCACTTGTGTTTAAATATGGAAGATTGAAATTGCTTATTGCAGCTTTATTTCGTTGAGCAGCCTAAAGAATTTCAAAGTTGTGAAATCGCAATTTCATTGAAGTTTTTGGCTTTAAAGGTGGCTGAGAAAATTCATTGGAATGCCAAATCGCCAAAAGAAAAATGAACAGAAACGAAAAGCTAGCAGAAATTCAATTGTGTTGGGTATTAAGACCTGGAATCAGAATTAAAATTAATGATAATTCGGTTCGTGCTAAATTTTGCTGCTTAAATATTGATGATACTAGATTTGAGCTGGCTTTAGTTTGTATTCGATTTGAAGGGGATTCATTGATTTCGATTAGAAGTCTCGGATTGCAGAGTAAAAGGTTGCCTTCGTGAATTTAGTTTTCCATCTTCAGGCATGCTTCTTATTCTTCTACATTTATTTTTCATATTCGGCTAATCTGTTATACAAACCTCAAATTGGTTCAACTATCAATTATGCGGCAAATACCCTAAAGAAATCTGTAGTTTATTTTACTAAACAGGCTCCCACGCTACGCTGAGTTTGAACATCTTATTAGAACGTCTATTAGCAGTACGATGACTACTTGTTTGCCTAGTTACCAAGTCATTAACATTCCACATCGATTGCCAATGCTTATGAAATTCTGGTTTGAAATGCAAAACATCTCTCTCCAGGGCACAGTTCAAGCAAAGCGAATGTCTGGGCCAACAAGCTGCAGGAAGTTCTATTTGTATTTGCTCAAACACTTGTCGAGACCCAAGTCAAGACCCCCAATACATCAGTCGAAGAACCCTGTTTAGCACAGCCATCCATCCCAGGTATGATGTGAGCTGTCGTGTGTGTGTGTTGCATGGTGCCATATCCCATGCTGTGGGCATTGGGTTACCTGTTCTGTGTACTTTGTTGCATTTTTTGCTGCCTCGGCTTCGACAATATTTAAATAGGAAATTAGGGTCGACTTGGCTGGCTGGCTGGCTGGCTGACTGCTTGGCTGTCTGCTGTCCCCGCTTGGCTTCCGCCTCAGGCAACGCCCTGGGGCCCGTTTTTCCAACTGTAAGCCGAGCCCAAGGCGCTTTCACAAGGTTTCCCGCAGTTCGGTTAGAATGCATTGCAGTTGTCTCTATGTGACTATGTCATGGCTTTTTCTTCTCTTTTTTTCGAGCCATGCTAATTAAAGCCGGGCTGGACCGGATTTAATTAACTGCATTTACTGTTAGCGCTAAACTGGTGCAGTTTCTTTACAACTAGAGGATAATATGGCTGTGTCAAGAAATATGTAAGGCAAAGATGCAAATGCTCAGATAAGGTATATTTCTATTTCTAATCAGTTGTAGATAAATCTACATTTATTTGTTTGTCTTTGACCCTGAATAAGTCGTTCTGTTATAGATAGAATTGTCTGATATGAAGAACAATAATACATAAATTTTAACAATCAATTATAGAGATTTTCTTTGCTTTTATATCATAATAAGATTTGGTATTCCAGCATTGAGTTTAAAATGTAAATATAATTTTTTTTAATTTTTACGTGCAGAAAATGTTAATTTATTTAAATATATATACATTTTAAGCTAAGTAAAGTCGATTATGGATTTACAATATCTATATCTATAAAAGCATATTAAATTGTGCTACAATATCATAAAGTTTCTATAGAAAAGTAAGTTGTTAGGAAAAGTATTTCTTAGCTCTAAATCGTACAGGGTATCTGCTCTTCCATCTGTCTTATATTCTAGTGTTTTCATATCATTGCACCACATTAAAGGATGCACGTCTTCTGGCTTATATCTGACTCTTTGCTAATGTTTATTATTTTTCACTTTTAATTGCAGCTCAACGGCAAATTCTCTCTCCGTCTCTGTCTGTGGCTGTGTGTGTGGACAAGGAAGCTCGTGTTTGAAGGTAAGCGACTTGGAATAGCCAACGGTATCTTGGACGCCACTTGTCCAATTGTGAGTGTGTGTGCGCGTGTGTGTGTTAAACAAGTTCTTCAGTTAATTGCTCGACGCAATGGCTCGCTGTTCATTCCTACAGTTTGTGCAATCATCATGTGAAAATATCTATATTTCACAACGAATATGAAATATAAAAAAACCCAACATTCAGTAAACCATTGTCAGCATGACTAAGAATTGCCAACGCATTTGCTAACCAGCCACCGGCAGACTTATAGGCAATATTTGGTATTTAACCAAATTGTGTAAATTGCATAGCTCGGCTAAATGACAGTTTTTTGTTGTTGCTGCTGTTGTTGCTTTGCTGCTTGCGGTGGAGAAAGGGGGCGGAGCTGCGAACGAGCTGAATTGTTGAAATTGACTCAATTTGTGTGCTGAACTTTAAGGCCCGCTTTGAATACCGGTTAATGGAAAGTTACATCAACCGGTTCGCTAATCATTCTGGCCAACAACGTCTTTGTCTTTCACTTCAAATTGGCTAATCTATTGGCTTACGCAAGGGTTGATGAGCGTGAGTTCAATGTACTCGCTGCTGATTATTCTGCCGGGTAATCTACCAAAATAAAACATGTACCAATGCCGTCGGGCATAAGCAACTGCGTAATACTTGCTCAGAGTTCGCGAAGAGACTATATCGATTGATATGTATTTAATATTTGTACACACTAGCTCTAAGCATGCCAAAGAAACTCAATTTCCTCACAGCCAATATTCTCCTTTTCACATTTTGCGAACAGAATATAACAATACGTTTTCAATATTTAAAGATGATCTCAAGTCATTTCATCAGTCAGCTGTCTGTAATCGTTTTCAGACTTCATTCATATGTTGATAAGCTGCGGTACGTGATTCACGCTTATTCATAGATCAATTAATAATTTATTCATACGTTAATTGGTTTTCAATGTTCTAAAAATATTTAAATAAACCGCCTAATATGGAATTGGCAATTAGAGCAAAAGCCGACAAATAATTTTTTATGCATGTTTATCAAAACAAATTTACATGATTATATCCGACATCAGATATTATCCATTTGCCATAGATAAATAGCTAGATACACTTACATATAAGTGATTGGCTACTACAGATCGTATACCTCAAATATCATAATAAATATTTTTAATATGTTTTTATGTTATTGTTATTAAGTTAGTAATCAAATTTAATTTTTGAGTTTAAATTTTGAGGATGCATAAGATAAGGTCGTAAGACGTTAGACGTTTCGCTTGAAAGTAAATAGAGTAATGAAATTTAGCATATGACAGCTAATATAGAGAAATATATCACATGATAAGTAATGTCTGAGGTTTGCATCATAAGATTTTTAGTGGCTATAGCTGTAAATACACATACAAAACGAAAAAAAAAAACTGCTAATATACAAACCTCTGTCGTAACCATCTCATATCTGTTACACTCTATGTTAGGTAGCCCAAATTCTTAGCTCACTGACATGATAAATTTCTGTATGGCCAGCTATAATATAATTTGCAGTTACGTGATTTTTTCTTCTGCTCAGCTATTGTTGTTGTTGTTTGCCTTCATCAAGTTTGGCATGTTTTGTAAGGTTCCCGCAATGCTTTTTAATTGGATTAGAAAAAGGGTAGAACCAAACAAAATGCGCATAATACCCGTTGCTATTTTTGCAACGTTCTTGCTGTGCTTTAATTTAATTAAAAGGTCAACGTACCTCAACTGAAACTTAACAAAAATCTGTAAAAAAAAATATAAAACGGCAAGTCAAAGATTAAATACTCTTGTATGCTGCATGGCTTAGGGAAGTGTTTTTGAAGAATGGTTTCATTTTTTGATATATTATTGATTGATAATTGAATTTATAGATATATATCACAGATTTGAAGGGGTTTGCGTATATGCTACATGAATATGGTTAGATACAATATATCATAATCGTATGAGCTAATTTTGATCAAAAGTTTATTGGGACTAGCAATCAAAAATATTATATAGAAATCAGGATAATTTAGATAATTATATATATATTTATATCTACAGTCTATTTAGAATCGATTTATATTTGATAACAACATTGTCATGCCCTCAAAGAGTGTATAAGATTTTTTCTGTTTCACATTTTTAGCCAAGAATTTTTGGCAATTAGTTGGTCAGGAGGCGCACAAAAAAAAAAATAAAAATAATGTTGTAGATCAAGTTTACGCATTTAATGCCCGGCGGGCATTTTTGTCTGTTTTCTGAAGTGTTGTTTGTCTGTTTTCTTTCGATTGTTTTTTTTTAATTCCAAAATTTAATTTGCATGTTTGAAAATCATTAATTTGCCAGCTATTAAAAATTGCTGCCAGCGAAATTTTACGCTGTTTTATTTGTTGCTTTTTCTTAACAACAAATTAGCCGCAGTGTGCGCAACTGATTTGCATTTTGATTTTGCTTTTCCAAGCGTTTTTATCGCATTTTGTTTTGGTTTTTTTTTTTGTTTAAAGCCAGGTTAGGTTTTGTTTAGTTTTTAGTGCAACTAACAGCTCATCAAAATTACACTACACGAAACTGGTGAAACTTTAACGTAACGCCACAGTGCATTTAACTTTCATTTCAATGGTTTTCCCTGGCTGCGCACAAGAAAGTTGTGCAAAGGGATGAGGCGGCCTCACTCAAAGCAAAAAGATCTTAGACAGAACCAGAAAGGTGTGCTAAAAGTATAAAGAGGATTAGTACAAGATTATTTGTTAGATAGCAAAAAGGTAAAGTTCGTTGAGTCCCAAGCAATCTTCTTACTTTTAGGCTGATGCTATTATCGATGTTATTTAAAAAAGTTAAAGGAATGCTCATAATAATAGCAACTATAGGTGAGGTTTGAGTAGGTTAGTTTGTGTCTGCTACCTATAGAGATGGCATATTGATTTATTCATTATTTTATATTTATTTTGCAAGGTTTTGCAGTTGAAAACTTGGAAAGTTTTTAGCATTAACTTCTCTCTGCTATTCTTCAGTTTAAATGTCAGCTGCTTGATGTTGATTATGATAGCCACTGAAATTGATCAGGTCTTAGAACTTTTTCTTTTTTGTGATTATCATATTTTCCTTAGTTCTTATCAATATGAAATATACATAAAGTAATTGAAAGATTTGTCGAACAACTACTGATGGTAAGTTATGGAGGCCACAGTTCATCTTAATAGTTCCTCGATAACTAACTTAGTTCGTATCGACTTTTGTATCACATATATATATATATATATATATATATATATATATATATATATATATATATATATATATATATATATATGTGATACATATATATATATATCAAGTACTTGCTGCTGCTTATTTAAGCAACTCTTATTGAACATGTCTACGCAATTTGACTTTGTGTAGGGCTTCCTCAAAGTCTATCCCTTTTATTGCTCGCTCAACAAAGTTCCATCGAAACCCATTTCGAACGAGAAACAATGTCAATGTTTGTATGTCTTTCTTCATAAGATAACTAAGCTGCAGACATGCGGAAGTCGTATATAAATATATATATATAGATATATATATATATGTGTCTGGCATCGTAACATTTATTGGTATCGCCTCGCGAGCACGCGTCAATCTTAACTCTCTTGGCTAATCAATCATGCGGCAAACATTCACAAGTCTTGCGGCTTGAATGAAAGTAATTTGAATAGCGTTTGTCGGCGTGGGTTTTGCGCTTCTCGTCGTCGCACTGTGCTTATGGTCTTTGATATTTACCTGTGTCTCTGACAGGTAGTAACAAACGCATTCACACTTTGCCAAACGTTCGTTCGTCAATCACTCGAATCAGTTTTGTCAATAGTTGTGTCCCGATCGATTCGCACCGCTCGCTGCACGTGTCAAGTGTAAAAAATGATACGAGCGCTGTTTAAGTGAAAGATCGACTTTTTTCTCTATTGTACTTTGATGTAGTCAGTACCTTTACCTTTAGCACACTTGAGTTTTATGGCTTTTCCCAGACGACGAGTGCATTTCGAGCAAACTCAGCGGTCAGTCTCCTTCTCTCTCCGGGGCAATAAACCGTTATGCAAGAAGGTCTTGAAAAAAGTTATTTTTCTCTCTTTCCTTTCAGCTTTGTCACTCGACGTGTTTCGTAGTTTCTTCGACTGTTTTCTTTCAGTTTTCTTTTCATTTCGCCCCAACAAATCAGGTCACAACTGTCAGAGCCCACTGACAATTTGTTAGCGCATTTCCATGCAGTCCGCCCCCAAAAACGAGAATAAAGATCGATGAACGTCTTGAAAAGCTGACAATTTAATTGCCATCAATGCTTGACCCATTTTCCATAGCATTTACCGTTCCATTGCATCATTTCGAGAACATTTCAGTTCGTTGATTTTTCAGTATTTTTTCGTGTTTAATTTGGATTTTTTCTACTTTTTTTTTGTATTATGAGTCTCCCGCATACGCGAGTTTTTTGTTTGAATTTTCTTTTGTTCGTTTTTTTGGAATCATTAGGGTCTCAGATCGTTGACTTTGATTAGAGCTGTGCTTGCCTCATTTACATTTTGGTGGCATGTCGCACTATGACTAGGATTTCATTCACTGAATATAGGCAATATCAATGGCCACTAATTAATGCCAACACATCAAAGTGTCAAACCTTGAAATTTGACTAGCTGTAGCCAAGTACCTGTCGTCTTTTACGTAGCACTAGTTCCTAGTAAACAAACAGATACCTATACAGAGAGGTCGAGCTACGCCTCAGGTAGTTCAGGCTGCGCACTTTAGACTGTTATCATCGCTTGGTTTTGGGTCCTTTTGTTCCGATATTTATGCAATGCCCGCTTGCGGTGCCTTTGTTGTTAGCCCCTAGCTCCCAGCACTCAAATATTTTTGCGTTTTTCTCTCTCTCCATCTCTCTCTCTTGATTTATTTAAAATGGACCGAAACAAAGACAAAGATTACGAACGACCTTTAAGCAAACGAAAATTTCAATGTTGCAATGGAAATTTTTATAGGAGACGCCACCCAGGGCGAACGATTTTGGCTAGAAAAGTGTAGCAGCTTCCATCCCGTGGAGCGGCTTAGACGAAGCTGTCAAGCATTGGCACGTCCCGCATGGTGACAATAAGCCGTGTCCTGGCCTTTCACTTTTCATTTTTTTTATCAGCACAGCTGGATGCAACCAGGCCGTGCCCCGCTTTGTCGCTTGTGTAGGTGGTCGAAGATTACAGTCAGAAATGAAAAATACCTGCATGCATTTGAGAGCTCTGCACCCAGAGATTGCAACCTGCACACGTTTACCTGTTTCTGGTTCGTACACCAATCCCATGGCAAAGCTAATCTTGAACAAATGTTTGGACTTAGATCTCACTTCAGTTCAGTAAGCTGTTTGGGGCGTGGCTCAGTGCACTGTTTATTTTAGCAAATCCAGCAGATTTGTGGCATTAACGAGACTTTAATATTTCAAGCAGGCAAACTCTATTGCCACTCACTAAAAACTCGAATCCCAAAAATTTGATTAGACCATGAAGCATTTTGTCGTCGCCGGCGGTGGCGGCATCAGCGTCGGCATCGCCAATGGATAAGACGGATTCGAGCCTAAAAAGGCAGGCAACCCATTCGTCTTGGCCAATTAAGACAATTTGTTTAGACTCGGTCTTGGCTGGCTTGGCCTGGCTTGGTTAGTTGGGTCGCCCGGCCTGTCAGTCAGCACAATTCGAACGTTTCGAATTTCTAATAAATCTAGCAGTCGCGCTATTGAATCTGTTGCCTAGATTATTGTGGCATAAATATTGTCTAAACACATATATGGTCAATACCAGTTAGACAAATGATTAGATGGCCCCCTCAACAAAATTGAACGTTCTATGGTCATATTGTGATTTAAAAATCCGATAATTGAGTGGCCCCGAAGTGTATTGATGTTTGAGCACAACTCAGACCAACAACTTGTGTGTGTCTTTGGTTATAATAAATGATCTTTATGCTGAGATAGGCCTGGAATAAAATTTTTGCATAATTTTCGCTTTAAATGGTAACAAATGAAAATTTATTGTAAGTCAAAGACAGAAGTTGATTGTTCGATAGTTTTTGCATATTTAGGTATAAACAATATTAATTGCAGCTATCCAATTAAGAAATTTGTTAACTAAATTTCTTTTGACTCCTTCTTAGAAAAGAGCTTTCTTGTATAGAAAATATATTGACTTAAGATTTATAAGCAACATATTTATGGATGAGAACTGATCAATATCAGCATATTATGTTAAAAAAAATCATTTAGAATTTCTAAATTATCATAGCTTTATCTAGAGTTTTTATGCTGATTTTTATTATATTTTCATAACAAGAATTAATTAATTTTATAAAAAGTTTACTTTTTAATTTGTATATATCTACTTTAAAATTAATTAAATTAGATATTATAGCTATATAAAAGTAAGAAATTAAATATTTTATAAGATTAATTGATGCGGTCTTTGGTCTTTTAAGAGCCATAGCCAAATTGGCATATAAAATATATTAAGTTCTATTCACTATTTGCATTAAAACTTCTATATGATAAATTGACTAACGTTTCAAATGTCTCTTTATAATTTTACTATTCCATAAGTATCATTTCTTAAACACTTTCATTGTCCATCATTAGAATCACCTTTATTCTTTTCTTATCTAGCTTAATGATTTTCGTATTTAAATAAAATTTGTGAAATGGAAACGAATTTTCTCTGCCCATCCGTTTCAGTTACAAATAAATTTCTAACTATTTAAATATGATTAACTGCATGATTTTTCAAAAAATATTCAGGCAACTTTCTCACACAGCATTTGAATAAAAAACCAAGTGTAAAAAAGAAAACCTAATCAAATGTTTACTTATGATACTTTTAATTTGAAAATGTGCTTTTTGATTTACTTTTTCGGTACATTTCTTTTGCATTGCATATCATCATTATCATGAGGTGTAATGATCATTGCACTCAGTTTAATTGGCTGCAAACACGCGCTGAAAAAGGAAAAGCAACTCCACTGCCCACTCCAATGACTGCGCATGCGCAACGTCGCTGTTGCTGTTGCAGTCGCAGTCGCAGTCGCTGTCGACGTTAGCGACGCGTCGTTAGCTTCGACTTTTGTTGCGCATTTTCTTGGCGCTTTTTAATTGCCTCTCTTTACAGTTCATAAATTTATTGCCATAGCCGTAACGAATAGCCAAAAAGTAGTCAAAAAAGGCGAAAATATAGCCAAAAAACACTGCAACAAGAACAAAGTCTGTTACTTAACCTGTCCATAGGTAATACCACGGTAAACTCTATATATAAAATCCAAGCGCATATTGCAACACTTTTTGAGCCCTTTACAAATCAAAATTTCATTTACACTGAGCGATAAATTGCTGGCCATAAATGTTTACAACAAGAACCTTCGCTGTTGAGTCATATAATTAACCCAAAACACCAGTTTCAAGGTTAGGTTTACAATGGAGCCTAAGGTCCGATAGGCCTACTGCAGACTACTGCCGTCTGACTACATCTATCAAATAAACGCACAATAAACAATAATTTTTTCTCCTTCTTTTTTTGGACAGATAGCCAAGAAATTCCCAGAGCAAACAAAGCGCAGACGATGAAACAATTTTCAGCTTGTTTGTTCAAAAATTAATAAATCAATGAGCTATTGTTATAAATTAATGTGTGTATGTGTCTGTGTGTGGTGACAAACAACCAAAAACCTTTAATTGATAAGAAAAAATTTGGACTTTAAATTGTAATAAATTCAATGAAAATTCAGATTTTCATATTGACGCTTATGAAAATGACAAAAAATGATATTGAACTATTAAACAACAACAATAAACATATGAGCCACATTAATAACAGGGTATCATAAATACTTCTTTCTGATCAATGCCGCAGCAATTGACTTTAATCAACTAATAAACTTTTTTCTTGTGTAAGGTTAGGTAGCATAATATATTGTACATAGTCTATATCCGCAGAGAGATAGCTAATCTCTTTAATCTTTATCACTACTTTCAACATTATCAACTACTTTCAGTAGTTTCTGACGTACATAGCTCGCGTCCGTTGCACAAATACGCCAAAGCTTTAATAACTCTGAAGAAAGTTTAAGAGAGAAGCATAACATTCAAAGAGCTTTTCTATAGAAAGCTCACTAATACATAGGCGTTCACAATTATATGTGTGTGTAGTACATACAAAGAGGATAATTGAACTAGTTACGAGCTGAGCTGATATAGACATGTTCGTCTATAGCTCTGTTCGTCTGTCCATCCGTAAAAGCAGTTTATTATCTGAAGAAGTTATTAACAAAGTCCATCTAGCAAGATATCTCTTAGTGAATTATTATGCAGACAATATAGAATTTTGACTGATTACAGGCAAGCTCTAAAGATATAAATATGTCTGCTTTTATAAATTTTTCTTTAAATTATCAAACTGTTAAAATATTGAAAACTTAATTCACTTCAAAGTTCAAATGCTTCACTATGCTCACATGATATTCTAGCTATTGACAGACTCATAAATATTTAATGATAGCAACAATCAAGTGAACCTTTCAAATGAAGACATTGCATATAAATTATAAAACCCGTGAAATGTCTTTAAGTTTTGTTTCGCATAAAAGTAATGCGATGTGTTATCACAATTAAATGATTGCAACACGTTGAACGATTGACACATTATAGGCGGCTAATTGACTTAGTTATTACAGCAGACACAACATTTTGTGCCTGTAACAAACAATGGAATTTCAATTGCCAGATAGTTAAACAAATCATGTTAATGGAATTAGTTTGGCATCTCTATAAGTTAGCTAATCATACGTTTTCTCTATCTTTTGGCTTTACAGCGCTTTTTATGCCACAGTCATGAAGTTGTCGTTGCCTCGCGCCTGATTACCACCCAACCAGCCAGCCAGCAGCAGTCCCTTAAAGCCTTAAACCAACAACATGTTCAGTCTGTTAAGCAGCTCACAAATCTATGGCCTGCCCCAAACAACGACTACCACAACAACAACAACGACGACGACGTCGGAGCAAACAACATCCCCGGATGAGAGCAGTGGCCAAAAGAAGAGCAACAGTCTGCCCCATAAGAATCACAAGCCTCAACAAACAGCAGCCGCGCATCGTCGATCGACGAGCAGCCTTAGTGATACGGGCGGCAAGTTCTTTGCCAATCTAAGCTCCAAGTCTCCTAGCCAATTCATAGAGAAGTTCATCAGAAGTGAATTGCTCAACGGATACGATACGCTCAAGTGTCAGGCCGGCGGCGGTAAGAGCCCAGCTGATAAGGATAAATCATCGGCAGAGAACAGTCCTCTCTATAGTAATCTGCAGACGGATTGGGGCAGCTTCAATTGCCTGCAGGGCAGCTATCGCAGTCACGGCGACGGCGAGTTCTATGAGGCTGTGCAGATCAAGACACCCAGCCCCACTACCACCAACAACAACAACAGCGAAGTGAATATGCGTTCCAAGGCGCCAACGGGCGAGGCTACGCTGCAACATTATCAGAAGCTGCCGGAGCCCAGCTTAGAGTCGCATTATAATACCCAGGCAGCTGGACATACGCCTGCTTATAAGAAACTCGGATTCGGTTCAAGGCTGCAAAAGCAGAGTGCAGAGCATGTAAGTATTTGATTATAAATAAAAGTTGTATAAAAAGAAGAAGAGAACATTAATAACGTTGTTTCGAAGAATATGGAAAAAAGATGGAATAAAAATTATTTTCTTTATATAAATTTTATTCCATCTATTTGAATATATTTCGTAAAAGATGACTACGATTCTAAAGATAAGTTATTAACTCTGCCTTATTATAACAGAGATATCAAGATAAAGGAGAACAAATTAGATTTCTGTTATGGAAAAGTTTAAAGATTTCAGGGATTATATTGATCATAAACATATAAGATTCAATTTATAATGAAGATTTTAGGAAATAACATGAGTTTAGATAAAAATTTGTTGAAAAATCATATAAGTTTATATTATCACAGAGAACAAGATAGATTTGTCGTAAAGAAATATAAGGATTTTAAGGGCTGATTATAAAATACGTATTAAAAATGAGATATTAAAATATATTTGTAATTATAAAAATATGACTTTAATATGTAACGTATATTACAAAAAAAAAGTAAATCAAGGCATTATGCATTGGGCAAACAAACTACCTTGATACAAATGATATATTCAAATAGTATTACGCCTTCAGCTAGATAGTCTTCAAATAGACTAGACAGATTTATCAGCTAGACAGATAAAGATCTAAACTTGTACCTTGTGATAACTGTAATCTTTCACTTTCTTTTTGCTTTGATTACGACACTTAGAATGCATATTATATAGTGGAAATCAGATTTTATCTAAAGCAAAGATCTACTTAGTCAGACTTAGTTTGCCTCATATGGTGACAATCTGCACTTAAGACCTCAGGGCGGGGCTGTTTATGGGGCGCGCGCGTGCATTTCTGTCCAAATGGCTGATTATGTGCAGAGCACGCGGCTAGGGCTTTACTTATCATTCAAAGAGCTCAAGTCGGTTAGATAGATGACTGTGCCCGATTGCTTTCTTGGCTTTCTAATTGCCGCGATAAGCCAATGGCTAATGAGCTGGCCACCAATTCGCCTTGGCATTAATTGTTTTTCTGTTTATTTGCTTAGTGTTGAAATCAAGCGAGCTGCATTGCTTGTCGCATTATTCGCATAGCACATGCCTCAATATGTATCTGTATCTGCGTGAACGTGTCATCTTCAGAGTTCTACAGCAGCTGCAATTATGCCCATAGTTGGTCAATATAGCACGCAGATGCCAACTGACTCGGCCAATGGCCTTCGATGAGGGCGGATGGCACTCGCATTAGTAACGAGTCTCAAATATAACACGACAGACAGAACAGAACAGCACAAAACAACAACAAAGCCATAAATCTAACAAGGTTTTGGCTGCATATCAAAATACACTTTTTCTATTTTGATTTATTTTCTTTTTTTCTATTATTTTTTGGCAAAACAACATTTGATAAGATACATCAGTGAGTAAAGTTGTTGCGCTTTTCTTTTCGTGTGAACAAGTAGATACCCTTTATATACACTAATTACTGATGACGAGAAAAATTTGATATAAAAATTTATATAAATATGGAAGAAAAGATTTGAGTCTAAAATATTATTTGATGAACATAAAAATATATTTATTATAGAATAAATAATATATTTAAAAGTTAGAAATTCGGTCAGAGTATAAATATATTCTCTCATATTATTAGGTTTAATATTTACATTATTTCCATATTTCTATCCTATCGTTAAGCTAACGTCAAATCATTTTATTATTTTATTACTTTTTATTTATTTGTTTTTATTTTATTTTATTACCATCATATTTTACATTTAATTCATCAATTGAAAGTTCACAGGGAGACAGAGTTTTTCATAAACATTTTATATTTTATTTTTTAAATATTTATTCAAGCATATGTAGCATAAATCTCTGTAAATCTTCCGTTTTGTAGCATACTTTTCAGCAAACCAGTCGGCATTCATTTCTATAGCATGCGTCTAGGCGCATTATATAAAAAACATAAATATGTATATTAGATCAAATTTGTAAATATTTTGGTTTATTATTTAAAACAATCGAAAAAGTATAAATTTAAAAGACATAAAATTAGAAGAAGAAAAATCGTAGAAAACCATTCACCCAAGCAATAATCTTGCTCTGGCCACATCATCCAAGTCGGACTGAATATGAGAACGCATATTCCCTTGGATCGAACGGCATGCAGTAGATAACTTCAGTTAGCGACCACCAGAGCAGTGTGCGTCATTAGAATAAGACCCAGGTGAGATAAGGTGTCGCAACTTTACTATCAATCAGCAGTAGCTAGCCGGCACGCTAACATCGTGCCCATAGTCAGTTGTCAGTTGTCATTTGGGCGCTGTCCAAGCAGAGTGTAAACTGAACCACAACGATGGTGGGCAAATGGGGTTTCGGAGGTCACTTCAATGTGCTGGGAAACCATAAGGTTTGCTCAGGCTACCCCAAACTTGATAGAAGCTGTAACTAATTGATTGTTCGAATGTCTTTGCAGAACTCAGACAACTCGCAATCCTCAAGAAACACACACGGTGGCAGCAGCAGCAGCAGCGAAGTGCAGCGCAGCTCCTCTGGATCGAGTTCGTCAGGTGCACCGACGGCAGCAACGTCGGCCAACTCACCTGAGCGCCTACAGCGTCGCCGACTATTGCAAATGATCTCTAACTATGATCAGCAGAACAAGCAACTGCATCGTGAACTGGCCAAGGAGAAGCGCCGTCGCACTGAGGAGCTGGCCTGCGTCGTCAAATCCCTGATCTGCTTCGAGTCGAAGCTAAAGAACGACATGAAGACAGTCAATTTGCGTCTATTGGATCGAGATGCTGAGATTTGTCGCCTCTTGCGACAGAATCGTGCGCTGCGCAAGCGTCTGGTCGATCATCAGCGCGACGAGGGCATGGTCGACGACCAGGAGACAAATGCGGATGAGGAGGCGCATGTGGAGGAATGCCTGGTGCTCGAAGCTTTGCAATGCAACAATTGCCGCAAGCAATTCTATGACATTGAGCTGAGAGCCAGCGGCACACAGACCTGTGGCAAGGAACTCGGCGTCAGCGCCAAAGGTGAGTGTACGATTGAAGATTTTATATAAGATGACAGCGTGAACAACAAGGAAAGACTATGAAATATAGAAAAATAAATGCTGAGTAGAAAGGGAAAGTATGCTGAGCCTCGTTCTATTGAAAACAAATCTAGTTAGATTATTTTCGTGCATGTGTCAAGCTGAATTTACTATTTCCTTAACGAATTTTTATTTGGTTTTTACCAAGAATTTCTTTATTATTTATAAGCCAAGTGAATTGATCAAAGATAAAGGTCTTCAGAAAAAAAGAAACAATGAATTAATCGTCACTTTCTTGGTTAATGTTGAATATTTTCTAAATCATTCGAGCTACATTTCTACAATTTATATTGTGTTATTGTTCTTAAAATATAACTAAGCTGGGTATCATTTTAGCAAGTATTTTTTTAAATAATTTAAAAAAAAAGCTTTAAAAAATGAATGATCAATGCAACTTAATCTGCGATCATTTCATGCCAAAAGTTGGTATTGTATTAAAACTGCTTTTAACTTTAACTCTTAACATTTTAAACCAAAATTATTTCTTAAAAAAATTTTATAGAAGCTTTTTCTTAACCAAAGTGTAATCGGTTAATTAGCGTGCCAAATATAAATAACTTTTTTGCGACATTTAAATTATTCCTATCTATAAATATAATACTCAAAATACCCATAAAGGTCAATAAAAATATTTGTGATAAGGCAAAAAAGCTAGGAAGTCTAGTAACTTGGTAAATACTATTAGTACTCACCCAAATGATTATTAATTGTGGTGCATAAATAAATAAATAAATAAAATGTTAATAGCTTAAATGAATTTTTAGCAAGACATTATTAAGACTTCAACTTTTTTTTCTAACACAAATATGTACTCAACTGACATATTATTGAATTATATTAGTGTTTTTCTTATGAAACTCTATTGCACTACAATCCTAAGTTATGAACTTGGAACTTCGAGCTAATCTATTTTCTGCAAGCAAAACAAACAAAAGCAGTAAGCACTAACTCATTAATCATGCTATATAAGTTAGCTTTCAGCTTAATCTTTAACACATATGCACCATATATATATATATATATATAGTATATATAATGTAGATGTGACCCAAAGAAGCTCGAACCTACTAAATATAAATACTATATATAAAATATATACTTAATATAAATACTATAAATAAAATATTGCTAAAATATGATAATTATTAACATTAAGAATTATAGATAATATTTATACAAAGATGAATCATAGCTTAAAATAAATATTTTATTATCTCTCATAACAGTTCAAAGTTGTATTTGTTTAACACCTTTTCGTGCTGCGCTAAATCTGTTGGCAGTTAAGCTTGCTTTTTATTTGGTAATCCTTTTCACGCTGTCATCTCTAAGCAAACCATAAAACGTCTTAGTCTTAATTCATTAATTTCTCTCTCTGCCTCTCTCTAGCTGAGCACGGCTCTTCCAGCGATGACACGGTCTCATCGTCGTTTTATGGCGCCAGGCGCAGTGTGCGCTATACAAGCAAGCGCACAGCGGGCACGTTTAGGGACTATATGCGCTCCCGGGCAATGCACATCGATGACGCGGCACTGGAGCAACAGTCGGAGGAGAATACTAGCAGCATTAGTCGCGAGGATTCGCAGACCAGTTACGAGCAGCTGCACAACTATGCCAGGGCCATGGAGCGTATGCATGGAGTGAAGTCAACGCTACAGGATGGCGACTACTCCGAGCACAGCAGCCTGGAACTGGAGCAGCAGCAGCAACGTCGACGCAACAGCTCAGCCTCCAGTCGCAGCAGCAAGACCGCCTCTTCGGTAGCTGCACAGCTGGAGGAGGATGATGGTATCTTTTCGCCCACTCAGGACGATGAAGATTTCGATGAACTGGATCCGGAACAGGAGCAGCAACTCATGTCACGTGGCGCTATCAAAATTGTACAGCGACGCTGTGCCGACTTCTCAGAGGCATCGCCGAAACAAATCTATGAGACGACCACAGATGATTGGTATGCCAGCGCCTCGGATCAGGAGGAGCTAAGCACAGCGCCTGTGGTGGCTAAATCGTATGGCCATGGCGCTGTCAATCCCGTGCTCGAGTGTGTCAATCAAATATTGCTGCAACAGTCTATGGAGGAGACACTACGCGAACCAACCACCCCGAAATCCGCGCTAGCGCCCAAGGCAAAATCCAATTTGCCGCGTCGCAGCTCGCTGAGTGGCCGCAGCGGCACAAACGGACGCAAGCGTGTGCACTTCTCCACGAAGAACAGCATGGTGCACGTGCCACGGCACGACGATGACGAGGAGCAACACAATAACAACGAATTGATCTCACACTATCATCCCATGGCAGAAGCCGCTGCCGCTCCGCCGGGCGATACACTCAACTACGAGAGCATCTACAGCAATGAGTACGAGCCCATTGGCTCTGAGCGCGCTTCCAATCTCTATGTGGACATGGCAGCGGCGGCGGCTGATGCCAGTGTTGCCAGCACTAAGACGCCGCAGAAATTGCCACCTGCGTTGCCGCCGAAGCCAGCAAATTTGCTGAAATTCAAGAAGTCACTGCAGCAGCTCGAGGAACACCTGGATGAGGATGAGGGTGATTGTGCGGTATCCACGACAACGACGAGCGAACCGGACTACTGTTCCATAGCCGAGGTGGGCGTGACGAGCGTACAAATTGTGGCCGATGTGCACAATGTACCAGAATCGAGCACGCCCACTGAACCAGAAGCGGAACGGGAACGTGAACGTCAATGTGAACAGCAACTGAATCACAACAGCTCCGACGATGATGCCTGCTCAGCGGCCGCCTCGCACAAGACTGAGGAAATCGAAGAGATTTTCGCCGACATACCAAAGCTACCCAATGTGGCGGCCATTATAGCGCCCAAGCAGTCCGCTGACTATATGCTAATGGCGCCCAAGACGCTGCGCCTACAGCTGCCGCCCACCAATACACAGACCATGCCCGCCCAGTACAAGCGCAAGCATGTGCCCAACATTCTGGCCGAGATCAACAAACGCATGAGTTTGCCCAGTTCGCCAACCACGCCCACAACGCCCAAAAGCTTGCCCACAACGCCAACATCGAAATCGCTGCTACAGCTGGCAGATGCGAGCAGCGGCCTGCCCCTGCAGGCCGAGTTCGATTGGTATAATCTGGATGCGGAGTACGATAGAAGCAATGAGGCGCCAAAGGGTTCGCAGAGCGAGGGCATGCTGGAGGAAATTAGTGAGGATAATGAATGCCTGATCACAACAGCTGATGAATATAATCTTGACGAGGAGTTTCAGCTGCAGCCCGAGCCGGAGGATCATCATGAGCAGCAAATGATGCAGCAGAATGACGACGAGGAGGAGAAACAGGACCAGCCCATAAAACCGGAGCCTGCCAAGGTTAAGCAAATGAAAAAGAATTTAGCCAGCTTCGAGAAATTCATTGAGGGTTCAGGACTGAGCACCAAACCCTTGCCGAGCAAACGAAAGATTTACTTTAATGCGCCGTTCGTTTAGATCGCCAGTTCCCTAGATATACCAATACCGATAGATATATACATATGTTTGTGTATAGGTATATCAACCAATACTATATTATGTTTACAACGAATTTAAGTATAATATATTGTGTGCTTAGTTTTTTATGTGTTCCGTCTTTTTGTTTAGTTCTTAAGTTGGCAAAGTATTAAAATGTTTAGTAAATTTTCATATGAATAAAATCAAAAAATATTATAATAAAACAATAATTATTAAAAATTATTACTCAAGGTAATTGAGATGGGTATAAATTGGTTAACATTATATTTACTATTAAAAGCTTTCAACAATTGGGAACATAGCCTGAAAGCCTTTCTAGGCGATTCTCATAATTTCAAAGATTTTTTTTAGAGAGCTTATGTTGAAATCATGCACAATTATTTATTTATATAAAAAAAGGCTTACCTTAGAAAAATCCTTTCTTTACGGCCCTTTCTCTGCGATTTTCAAGAGTCTAAGTAATGCTTATAGCCATTGCATTATTTCTAGTTCTATTTATTTCTAGTTCTTGCCAAAGCATTAGCTCTACTTTGAAACTAGCATATCATCTGAGGGCACCCTACTCTGCGATTCTCATGAATTAAATGAATGCTTTGGCGTCCTTAATTGTAAGTTTGCATGATTAAACATTAAATTTGTAAAGCCGTTTTATAAATGTAAGACATACTTTATATATGTCACTGACATTTTCATTGTCATTTCTCTTACTTGACTTTCTCTTGACTCTTTCTCTTTGAAAAGTTCCATTTCTTGTCCACTCTCTCTGCATCTCTTTAGCTTCCTCTTACTCTCTATATTTTTTCTTTCTAACAAGCTGACTTCTCTGTACAGCGTAGTCGTGCATGCCCATGTCCCCCAAACGTTCCCTTTCAGTCAAAAAAAAAAGCAAACTGTAGTTCTTGACAACGTTAACTAGCTGATGTTTTTTATTCATCATTGAGATTATATTGTGCAAAAATACAGGCGGTGCATTTGCTTATGTTGTACATCCAGAAAAAAGGAACACGCACGTACGAGACTTACATAAAAAGCAGTCCACATTCAAAAATTGTCTTTGCCGTCTGAGCAAATAAAGCATAAGCTGTGCAATCAAATTAGCTACAGGAAAGCTTAAAATAAACTTAAAACTTAATACTTTTACACTTGCACTTGTTGGAATTCAATTTGAACCCAATGCTAAATGTGCTTAATACAAGCTGGTCTTCTTCATGATGCGGAGGAACTCCTCCTGATTGACTTCACCATCGTTGTCCAGATCAGCCTCATCAATCATCTCGCGCAGCTCCTCGTCCGACAATGTTTCCCCGAGTTCGCGTGCAACGCGTTTCAGATTTTTAAATGATATCTTGCCCGTCTCGTCATCGTCGAACAAACGAAACGCTTTCAGTATCTCCTCCTTGATATCCTTTTCGGCCATTTTCATGGTCATCAGATGTAAGAAGTCATTGAACGCAATACGGCCACTGCCATCCTTATCGATTTCTGCTATCATTCGTTTGATTTCCTCTTTTTTGGGCTCAAAGCCCAACGCACGTATTGCTACCTTAAGCTCCTTAACCTCTATGTAGCCGATGCAGTCTTTGTCGAATACATCGAATGCCTCTTTGATGTCCGATTTTTGTGCTTCGGTTAATTCGAATTTCGGTCCAGACTTTTTACGTCCTTGCTGCGTGTTGCGTTTCGTATTGGGAGCACTTGCTGCGGCTGCCGCTGCTGCTGCTGCGGCTGCAGATGCTGCTGTTCCAGTGGCTGCATTTACTCCAGTTACGCTTGCCTCCATTTTTGTTTCTAAAATCTGATAACTTGAATCAATTTGATTATCAAGTTTTTGTGGCTGCGATAGGCCGTCAAAAAATGTAATTTCATAACACACGCAAATGTCAAATGGAGACGTCACGCAGTAACCGCTCAGCTCACCTTGACTTTGACGGGACGACGTGCAACTGTGAAACGTGTATCCTTGCACTTGTATTTGAGGCCAATTACGACGCCCACTCACTCACTCGCTCACAAAACTATTCGGTGGTTGGTTGCTTGGGTGGGTGGCAGATTGGGTTGACTGCTGTTAGCGTCGTGTTGTTGTTGCTGCTGTTGCTATTATGTTGCTATAAATAACAGCTGCACTTAGCGTTGCGGCTACTTGCGTTACTCTGCGCTACGCAAATCGTTTGTTTTCACCTGCTTGGCATCTGCCGTCGTTTGTTTTGTAACGGGACGCCAGTTTTTCCACATAAGTTTCCTTCCAACAATTATTTGTTTACCAGCCAAGGGGCAGCAACTGCACACAGGTTGCTTAGCAGCTATCGATACGCTGCTGTGCGATAGCACTGTGGCGGCAAAGCGATAATAACTATTGCAGCACGCGCTTGAGCTTTTTTAGTGCGTGTTTGTGAAAGCTGAGCTGTTAGAAACGGTTTTTTGAAATTACCATCAAACGGACTATTTATTCTTTTTTTAAAACAAACTATGTATAAGCTTTTATTAAATGACTCCTCATGATTTACTTTGATCTTTAGCATTTTATATAATTTAAACGTTTTGTCCTCATTGATTGGCCGATTTACAGTTGACAAAAAAACCCCTTTCTATCAAATTGGTAATTTGGCATTCTTGATCAATTTCTGCTGTCTACGCATGGAGCGAAACATGGAGAGAGACTAAGACAGTACGAAAACAAACGGATTTAGCTCTATATTTTAATCTAGAAAATTTTGCCTGTTGCAAAAATTTCCATAATATTATTATACCCTGAATAAGAATAGAGTATACTAAATATAAATATAAGTCAAGCCTACCCCAAAAATGAAAAAATGTTAGTTACAACTTATTGATATTTTTATCTATTGCAGACTGTGTATACATACAAAAGAATCTATATGTTAGACATAATAGTATTATATATTATATATATGCAGGCATATTCTATTCATATAAAATTATAACAATATATTAAAAATATTTATACATATAAGCAGAATATTTATGATAGAACTTTGTCTTAACACCATTTACATATAATTTTATTTTATAAATTAATCAAAATTAGCATAGATTAGTCATCAGCTACCAATTTCAATGGGTTATTAACTGATTTATTGACGTGAAATTCTTTGCAAGAGCAAATTTTTATTATTTGAGAAAGCTCAGACGATTTATCATTCCGTTGCCACTTAAAATTTATCAAAGATGCTCGCAGAAGTATGCAAAGCAAAGCGAAAAAAACGAAGTAACAGAAAGCATAATACAAAGAAAAAGTTAATTAATTACACCCGTTGATTTTGCATGACAAGTCATCCGCAAATCTGGACCAGTTTCTGTTGGACATTGACATCTCGTGCTGTAGCTTCTTCTTCGCCGGTAGCCAAGTGCGACTTCTGCCGTTTGCCGGTTTTTTGTTTTTATTTCCATGTTCGCGCTGCTTCACGAGAGACACAAATAAAACACTGGCAGCGCTTTTGTTTTGATCTTTTATACGCATATGCTTCGTGTTCTTTTATATTTATACACGCATATATATTTATAAACGTCTCAAAGTATTACGATTATGTCAAAGAGTTTGACATGCGGATTAAAAATGTTAAAGAGTTGCATGTCGTAGCAGAAAAAAAGAAATTCTTTAACCTGTTTAACTGAGATATGAAACTTTTCAAAGATACTTGTCATTGAACTGACTTTAGGTCCATGATATAGGACTGCATTAAGTATCTAACATAAGCTTAACATGCAAAAATAAGATTTGATTGTTGCCTACAATAGTTAATATATTGTAATCAAAATCTAAGTTAGGTACACAAAAAAATATTAAAAATATATCAATTTGAATTAGGTTAGAAATTTAATAAGTAAATGTGCTTAAAACGTGTTTTGTTCTATATCTTTGCATATATTAATATTGCAGCTATTGATATTTCTAATATCTTAATTAAACATATATTATAATAATATATTTTTGTAGATATTTATATTTTATTTATTGATCCTCTGAATATATACTATTTTTCAATTCACTTTTTGATAGGGTTTAACTAACTATGATATATAAATATTTAACTAACTATAATATATAAATATTTAAATCTTTAAATACTAAAAAAAATCGGTATTTTTATTTTTCAACTATTATCCGACATATATTATTTATGCACTATTATTTATACACTATACTCAAAAGTGAATTAAATCATTTAATGTTCAAAATATAATAATTAAATTTATTATTCTGCTGGGCAACTTTCATGTTTTATTAAGTACCCCAGTTCCTAATTTTCTGCAATTTTAAGAGTATTTAAGGTGCGACCCTATGTGCTCAACTTTCCTTTCTTGTTACTTTAACATTTTAGAACGTTGCTGCGGGCGTTCTTTTTTTATGTATTGTGTACATTTGCAGCACGCTCCGTTTGCGTATAAATAGGAGCCTCTTCAATGGGATCGGCAACAGTTTCGTTTCGGGCGCGCATGCGCAAAGGTTCTCGTGACAAGTGAAAGCCGCTACTGGATTACAAATATATATAGATATATTTATATATATTTACAACATACTTTTGGATAAGTCCGTTAAGTAAGTGAATGAGTCAAGTGTAGTGAGAACTTTCTATATAAACGCTTGTCGTGTGTGTCTGCAACAGTAAATGGACATCAAATTGAATATTAAGTGGAATTTTTCTCAGTGTGTGTGTGTGCGTACGTGAAGTGCATAAGAAATTCCTTATTGTGTGTTCAAGTGATGCGCGTAGAAGACCGAATTGTGGACCAGGTTTATGGAGTTTTAATAGTGGCACATAAAATACACAAGTTTTATATATATATTTATATATACGAAACAAAAGACTTTTGTTCTGCAAAAAAATTTAAATAAAATGTGAAAAATATACATTAACTGATGTACATAGTCCGTATAGATAATAAACATTTAAATACAAGCTGAAAGTTCCACGCAGACAAATTTCATCTGCTGCCTTTCTCTCGTTGCACAATCTCTTCTACGTTTTTTAGTTTTTTTTTATTTGCCACATCTAAAATATGCGGACAGGATCAGTGGGCCGAGAATCTTGACGTTCAATGAACTCTTCCCGTCTCTCTCTATACCTCCCCCTCCTTCTCACCTCTACCAATCAAAACCTGCCCAGTTCTAAATCGCAAAACTTGCCCAACATCTTTTTCTCCCATTGGCGTGGGTTACATTTCTTCTGATTACCATACATAATAACATTCTCCCCGTATTACGTCGTTTTTTTAGATTATCAAAACAAGAACAAAAATAATAATAAATAATAAAAAGTCAAGAGAAACCGGTCAACATCGTAAAGCTCTTAACCTAATTCTGAAAACGGATTTGCATATTAGGCAAAAAAAAAAGAAACATATTTGGCACACTCCGCAAATTGAAATAACCGTAGGCCAGTAGAAGGAGAAAGAAAAGTTGTAAATAATTCAATAGCTATTAGTAAATACTGAAGCATAAAGCTGAGAAACACAAATAACGTTAACAGCCACGATTCTTGACTCATAGAGGTAAAGTTTCCAAGACATAAAATGCCTTTGTCTGTTGCAGTTCAAGGATTTCCATCTCGAATACACTGGCTAGCAAAATTTAGTAAAAACATACACAACACGCAAAATAAGTACAAAATTGTGGAAGTTAAACTCAAAATTCCTTGAATAGACCATACAAATCTTCAACTATTCCTTATATTGCCTCTGCGTACAGCTCTTATTAAAGTAGTAGTGCGAATTGAAAAAATAAAAATATATATATATCATATGACTTATAAATATATATTCTTTGATGCTGTATAACATATTTTTATATATAATATATTTATATATATACATTTGTATATCATTGTTCATTAAAATAGTAGTGTGAATTGAAGCATTGAAAAGATATATCAAATACTTATATCCCGATGTGTATGAAAAAGATTAGAAAAACCTAATTATATAGAAAAATAGGGAAATTTAATGGATTACAAATTTACGTATATAATATATTTATATATTTTTATATAAATTTTTCACTGTTCATAAAAATAGTAGTGCGACAGACCACTAAATGTTAAATGCAAACATTTAATGATAAACACAATATATTAAAAAAGAATTTCAAACTAATATTAAAATTAACTTATTTTTTTTAATTTTTTTTTTTTATTCATAAAAATAATAATGTCTGCTGAAAAGAAATAAAAACTATTTAACATTACTGTTAATCTTGGCACCTACGTGGCAGGGAATCGGTTCTTATATTGCCTCTATATATGTATTTGTATAAGCTTTGTTATAAACGTAATTCTAGACATTAGCATAATTGAATTAAAATAATCATTTTTATCGTATCAAAACCACAATTCAATTTATAACCCAGCGGCACATTCAAACACTCGAAATTAATGCGAAAGAAAACAAAATCAATTTATGAAATCAAGCAGAAATTTCGATCTGGCAATTAAATGTCGCAACGTAAACAAGTTCCTTGTCTCTTAGTTAATTTATAACAATTTTTTGAAAAATTGTGGGAAAGTAAGCGAGTTTTTGGCACCCAATACAGGAACACATATACATACAATTGATATTTCGTGGGCGTGGGCCTAGGTCATATTGCGTCTGGCATATAAAACAAATATATATAAAATATATATATAATTTATTTACTGCCTTTAGACATTTATCACTTACAATCAATAGGCATATAAATAAGTTCCGGGCAGAAACGAAATACAAACAAAAAAGAGTCAAACAATTACTTCCCAATTTGTCATCCAAAACCGCGCAGCCTCTACCTAACCTAATTAGAATGTACGACGCATTGCCGCACGTAATATGAGAGGACAATGCGCTGACGTGATAATGCGTGCGTCTGCCTTAATAAATCATGAATATAGCCCAATTTATATATATAAATAATAATATTTTGGGCAAAAGGCAAGTTACACTTATGAATCACACTTAGAAACAAGAGAGAATTACCTTAAAGTCTGGCTTAAATATTAACTATGTTAATGTATAATAATCTTAATTGAAAATGCATATTAGTTTCTTTGCAGCTTAAGTGGAACCGAAGCTCGCGCACTATAAGAGCGACTTATTAACATGCGTAGAGGAGCTACGCACAACGGGCTGCTGGTAAGTTGCAATCAATGAGAGATTGTCCTGAGACTGTTCTAGTAATACTAAAGTAGCTGTTGTTGATTAGTAGTAGTAGTTTAGTAGTAGAATCAGCAGAAATGGGAACAGTGGAGTAGTTGATTTAGTAGAATATTATTACTGGAGTAGTAGTCGAGTATTAGTAGTAGTAAAGTAGTAGAATAGTTCAATTTTAGTTGTTTTAGTAGTAGAAGTAAAGTAATAAAATAATAAAATAATAGAATAGTAGTAGTAGTACAATATTAGAATTTTAGTAGTGATAGTAGTAGAATAGTAGTATTGGTAGTAGAGTAAAATAATAATAATAGTAGTAAAATAGTAAAATAGTAGTAATTAATAATAGTAGGAGTAGTAGTAGTAAAATAGTAAAATAGTAGTAGTAGTAGTAAAATAGTAAAATAGTAGTAGTAAATAATAGTAGGAGTAGTAGTAAAATAGTAAAATAGTAGTAGTAAATAATAGTAGGAGTAGTAGTAGTAAAATAGTAAAATAGTAGTAGTATTTAGTAGTAAAATAGTAAAATAGTAGTAGTAGTTAAATAATAGTAGTACTAGTAACAGAGTACTGTTGTGTTAAAAGTAGTAATAGCCGAGTAGTTGTAGTGTTGTAAAGTAGTAAAATAGTAATAGTAGTAGCAGAATAATAGTAATAAAATAGTAGTAGTAGCAGACTAATAGCATCAGAGCTAGAATTAGTGAAGTTAATGTAGAATACTAAATGTAGAAATAGGAGTGTGCACAAATAGTAGCACAGTTGAAGTAGTAAAATTGAAATAGTAGTAGAGCTATTAACTGTTCATTCGATCGTATATAATTCGCTCCATTGAGTTGTTCTTCAATTCACCTTAAACTAAACACAGAATTCGCTGATTAGCGCTTATGCTGAGCTTTTCAGCTTTTATATACTAAATAGAAAGTAATAAGAATCATTCATGGCAAACCTATACATTAGGGATCGATCATGAATGAGGGAATACTTTCGTTCATGATTCAGAAATAAACAATTTCATTTATTGAAATATAATTCTTAATATATAACACTTGGAAATATAGATTTCTCACAATTTTTTATTCATGGGAATTGTGAGTGAAATTAAAATTTTATTATAAATTTGACTCTGATCACGTTGATACGTTGGACTATTTTTCATTTTATAACAACTTTGACTAACCCTAGATAACTATTGAGCTATTAACCTTATACGTACTAGAAGCAGTTGATGTAGTGAAATATGAAAGCATAGAATGATCATAAAATTGTAAATATAATATAATATTTATAAGATGTTTAGCTCTTCTTCTGCTATTCCTATAAACCCTTTATGTACTCAATCCCAAATGCTTCCTAATTCAATTTCTTACAGTTGCTTTGCCTATGGGCAACAGCGGCCACGGGGCACATTCGCATCGAAGCGCCCGAGGTGCACGTGGCGCCCAGCTACAAGCCGGCCTTTGTGCGTGCAGCCGTGGAGAGTATGCCAGTGGAGGATGAGCCTGGGGCACTGAGTCGCTTCAGCATACGACCCACATTTGGCGAGGCATTTCTACCGCTACGCAGCGCCGTGGAGAGTGTGCCTAGCATCAGTGAGCGGCACATTGCGCTGCTGCGTGAATCCTCCCCGTTGCGTTCCTTTGTACGTGACTCTGTGGAGGCGCAGCCCAGCGATGATGATGAAGATGAAGACGAGGAATCGTTAGAGTTTGCATCGCCCGCCAGCTTTGTGCGCGACGTGCCAGAAGAGTTACAGGAGGAAAAACTTTCGCAGCTGGTGGAACCGGATCCCTGGTCGGTGTCCGATAAATACGCCGCCTTCATAGCACCCAGCTCAAATGACAATTATCAGCCGCAGCCCTATCGCTCCGGCTCACCACATCAGCAGCTGCTCAAGGCAGTGGATCTGGAGCAACTGGAGCATATCGATGAATTGGACAGTTATACGGAGCAACAGTTCTATGGGGCTCTAGCCCAGGCCGATCTCACGCAAGACGGCGCCTACGGCGCCTTATTACAGGCCAAGACCACAACGGAAAAGAAGAACTACAACATGGCACCCAAGGTGCTCTGTTACATGTCGAACTGGGCCTTTTATCGCAAGGCCGATGGCCACTTTGTGCCCGAGCAGCTGGAGCCGAAGCTTTGCTCAGCGATTATCTATTCGTTTGCCTCGCTCGATCCGGATCATTTGACCATACGTGAATTCGATCCCTGGGTGGATATAGAGAATCAGTACTACAAACGCGTCGTAGCTCTCGGCGTGCCCGTGTTGCTTGCTATGGGCGGTTGGACAGATTCGAGTGGCGACAAATATTCCCGCTTGGCTAGTGACGAGATCAAGCGCAAAGTATTTGCCTCCAGTGCGGCGGGCTTTTTGCAGCGTCACGGATTTAGTGGCATTCACTTGGACTGGAACTACCCCAAGTGCTGGCAAAGCGATTGCTCCAAGGGACCGCCCAGCGACAGGCCCAATCTGACTAAGCTACTGCGTGAGCTGCGCTCACAGCTCAAGCGTGTGAATCCTAAGATGCAATTGGGCGTGGCCATCTCGGGCTACGAGGAGATCATCAACGAGGCCTACGAGCTAGCTGCACTCTCCGAAATCGTTGACTATATGACTGTGATGACTTACGATTACCATGGAGCCTGGGAAAGACAAACTGGCCATGTGAGTCCCCTGTACGGACGTCCGCAGGACAAATATCCGCAATATAATACGGACCACACCATGCAGCTGTTGGTTCAAATGGGCGCACGCCGCGAGAAGCTGATTATGAGCATACCCTTCTATGGGCAGAGCTTTACACTCGAGCAGAGCAGCCAGCATTTGGTCGGCGAGGGCGTTTCGGCTAGCGGCCCAGGCGACGCTGGCGAGCTGACCAAGCAGCCTGGTATGTTGGCCTACTATGAAATCTGTCAGCGCATACGCAAGCAGAAGTGGCAGACAGGCCGGGATGCTGAGCGCAAGTCTGGACCCTATGCCATGCTCCGCAATCAATGGGTGGGCTATGAGGATGCGGCCAGCGTGGAGGCCAAGGCTCGCTATGCGGCGAATAACGATTTCGGTGGCATTGCCGCTTGGACCATCGATCTGGATGACTTCCAGAATCGCTGCTGCAGTGAAGCCTTCCCACTGCTCAAGGCTGTCAATCGGGCCCTGGGTCGACTGAACACGGAGCCACCGACGCGCAGCAATTGCGAGCGCCCACCACAGCCGATAACACCGGTACCACCACAAATGACGACCATCAGCAGCGATGGCTCGCTGAGCGGCAGTCACAATGATCACACAACCTCCTGGCCCACTTGGGATCAAACAAGCACAACCACGCCAAGACCCAGCAGTAGCACCACAACTACTCGCAGACCTACCACCAGCAGCACCACCAGCAGCACAACTCCCGCCTGGTGGACCAGCGCAGCACCGCCTACAACGACAAAACGTCCCGCCAAGCCTAAGCCGAAGCCAACTAAGACAACTGTACGACCGGCCCAGACCACTATACCAGTGCCAGCTGTGGTCTATCCCGTGATACAGGCCGCCAACTGCGAGGCTGGTGAATTCTATCCAGATAAAAGGAATTGCAATTCGTATTACCATTGCATTATACCGGGTGAACTGCGTCAACAATTCTGTCCCGGTGGCTTGCACTGGAACAACGAGGTGAAAGGCTGCGATTGGCCCGCCTCTGCGCAATGCTCGGTGAAGAAGGAACATACGAGCACCACAAGTGGTGTACCCATCACTAGAAGCACCACTCAAAGGCCCAGCAGCAGCAGCACCAAACGACCCAGCAGCAGCACCACCAAACGACCCAACAGCAGCACCACCAAACGACCCAACAGCAGCAGCAGCACCACCAAGAAGCCGAGACGAACTACGACATCAGCTAAGCCCAGTCGCAAGCCAACAAAACCTGTTCAGAAGCCGTTGCCTGGTAGTAGCACCACTCGCAAGCCACATCGCACCACTCGCCGACCACGTCCACCCAGCTCGTCCCGCTGCAACGAGGGCGAGTACTACACGCACAGAAACTGCGGCAAATACTACATCTGCGTGAATGGAGCGCTCGTGCCAAGTGAATGTGGCAGCGAGCTGCACTGGGATGCCCTGCGAAAGATCTGCGATTGGCCCGAGAATGTGCAGTGCGTGACCAGCAAGAAGTACTTGCGCATTATACAGTCCAAGGCCAGCGAAGAGGATCCCTGCAATGGCGAGGAGCGAGTGCCCTATCCCGGCGACTGCTCCAAGTATTTGTTCTGTCTGTGGAATCGTCTGCAGGCTGCCGACTGTCCGCCTGGCTTGCATTATAATGAGGCGCTGGGCAACTGCGATTGGCCAATGGCGGCGCAGTGCAAAGAGGATGGAGGAAGTGGCTCAGGCGGCAGCGGCAGCGGCAGCTCCAAGCCAAAGCCACCGGCAGCAGCTAAGCCCGTGCCGACAACGCAGCGACCTAGCACTACAGCTCGACCCACTTATCCCACGGACAAGCCGCAACTGCAGCCCCTGGATGGCCACTACAAGGTCGTTTGCTACTTCACCAATTGGGCCTGGTACCGCAAGGGTCTGGGTCGCTACACGCCCGATGACATCAACACGGACCTGTGCACCCATGTGATATATGGCTTTGCAGTATTGGATTACTCCGAGCTCACTCTACGCACTCACGACTCTTGGGCAGACATCGATAACAATTTCTACACACGCGTCAGCGGTCTGAAGAGCAAGGGCGTCAAGGTCAGCCTGGCCCTGGGTGGCTGGAACGATTCGCAGGGCGACAAGTACAGTCGCCTCGTGCGCAATGCGGCGGCGCGTGCGAAATTCATTCGTCATGCTCTGGACTTCATCGAGAAGTACGGCTTTGAGGGCCTCGATCTGGATTGGGAGTATCCGGTTTGTTGGCAGACTGAGTGCAACAAGGGTTTTGCGGATGAAAAGGAGAGCTTCACGGCCTGGGTCAGGGAACTGTCGGAGGCATTTAGGCCACGTGGTCTGCTGCTTTCCACTGCGGTGTCGCCCAGCAAAAAGATCATCGATGCTGGCTACGATGTGGCAGAGCTCGCACGCTACTTTGACTGGATCGCTGTGATGACCTACGATTTCCACGGACAGTGGGACAAGAAGACAGGACACGTTGCCCCCTTGTATCATCATCCCGACGACGACTATGATTACTTCAACGCGGTAAGCAACGTCTTAGCCGACTAGCAAAAGCAGAAACTATATTGAAATGGCTCTCCTCAGAACTTCTCGCTGAATTATTGGATTGAGCAAGGTGCTCCCTCGCGCAAGATTGTCATGGGCATGCCTCTATATGGCCAGTCCTTTACGCTGGAGAATGCCAACAACAATGGACTCAATGCCAAGGCACCAGGACCTGGCCAGGCGGGTGAATTTACCAAAGCAGCTGGCTTCTTGGCGTACTATGAGGTGGGTCCAAATAAATTAATGATAATTGAAACCTTTTCAATATTGCTTTTGCTTTATTCATTTCACAGATCTGCGAGCGCGTCAAGCATCAGGGCTGGGAAGTCGTACAGGACGAACGTGGTCGCATGGGTCCATACGCTCGCAAGGGCACTCAGTGGGTCTCCTTTGACGATCCGGCCATGATACGCAAGAAATCGCAACTGGTTCGTGCCCTCAATCTAGGCGGTGGCATGGTGTGGGCCTTAGATCTTGATGATTTCCGTAATCGTTGCGGCGATGGCGTGCATCCATTGCTCAGGGAAATACACGATGTACTAAAGGATCCCCCAAATGGCTATGAACCTACGCGTAAGTCTCTAGGGAAAACTTGTAGTCTTAACTAATAGTTAAATTCCCATAGCTGGTCTAAGTCCCGCAGAAGTGGAATCTGTGGAAGAGCAAGCCAACTCGGGTGAAGTGGGCACAGCATCTGTGGAAAATGAAGCCGGACAAACAACACAGGAAGCAGCTGGTCAGGAAAGCAGCGAGGCTGAGGAAGTCGAAAGCGTGGGCGGCGAGGAGCAGGAAGAGGTGGCAGTCGTGCAGCCACCAGAGCCAGAGTCTAGCTCCAACTCTGAAGACTCTAGCAATGAGGCAGGCAGCAACGAATCGGCCAGCAATGAAGCAGGCAGCAGCAACAACGAGCCTGAATCTTCGCAGGAAAACGAAGTTGATCCCAACGAGGATATTGAGGAGGGAGACTTTGAAATGGAGGTAGGTTATCCAATAGCCGACGCTGGCACCGACTATAAGGTGGTCTGCTACTTCACCAACTGGGCGTGGTACCGTCAAGGCGGTGGCAAGTATTTACCGGAAGATATCGATGCGGATCTCTGCACGCACATTGTCTACGGCTTTGCAGTGTTGAATCGCGATAAGTTGACGATTCAGCCGCATGATTCGTGGGCCGATCTGGACAACAAGTTCTATGAGCGCGTGGTGGGCTATAGGAAGAAGGGCGTCAAGGTAACCGTCGCCATTGGCGGCTGGAACGACTCAGCTGGTGATAAATACGCTCGCTTAGTTAGAAGCGCCACGGCGCGAGCCCGATTCATACGCCATGTCATGGACTTTATCGAGCAGTACGGATTCGACGGTCTCGACTTGGACTGGGAGTATCCGGTGTGCTGGCAGGTGGACTGCAAAAAGGGCACCGCCGACGAAAGGGAAGGCTTCACAGACTTGGTGCGTGAGCTGTCGCAGGCCTTCAAGCCAAAGGGTTTGCTGCTCTCCGCCGCTGTCTCGCCGAACAAAAAGGTTGTGGACGCGGGCTACAATGTGCCCGAGCTTTCGCGTTACTTCGATTGGATTGCCGTCATGGCATACGACTATCATGGACAGTGGGACAAGCATACGGGTCATGTGGCGCCCATGTACGATCACCCAGAGGGCACGACCACCTTCAATGCCAACTACTCGATTAACTATTGGCTGGAGAGCGGTGCTGAGCGCAAGAAACTTATTATGGGCATGCCCATGTACGGCCAGTCCTTCTCCCTAGCCCAGGCCAGCGACAATGAGCTCAATGCACCCACCTACGGCGGCGGTGAGGCCGGCGAGGCAACGCGTGCCAGAGGCTTCCTGGCCTACTACGAAATCTGTTCGTATATACAACGTCGCGGATGGAATGTGGTGCGCGACGCGCGCGGTCGCATGGGTCCCTATGCCTTCTCGCGGGATCAGTGGGTGTCCTTTGACGATGCGCCCATGATACGCCACAAGAGCGAATACGTACGCGCCATGGGCTTGGGCGGAGCCATGATCTGGGCCCTGGACTTGGATGATTTCAAGAACGATTGCGGCTGCGAATCGTATCCACTGCTAAAGACAATCAATCGCGTGCTACGCGGCTATCCAGGACCACATCCCAAGTGTGCGCTGGAGCAGAGCGAAAAGACAATGGGTAAGCTGTGTATAAACTGATTGAGAGACTTTCATGCAACATAGCATTTGCAGTTGCTGGCGACAAAGGCACCGCGCAGTCAGCCAAACCCACGATCAACACTGCAACCCCGTCGCACATAGTTGCCACTTCGGCCAGGCCAGAGCCTGGCCAGCCAATCGATTGCGATGGACGCAACTATGCATCGCACGCGCGTGATTGCAATAAGTATTACATCTGTCAGTACGGCGAACTGATTGAACAGCGGTGAGTCGAAAGTCTCCGATAGAATCCTTTGAGCCTTAGCCTTAATCTCTACAACTCTCAGCTGTCCAGCCGGTCTGCACTGGAACGAGAATTACTGTGACTGGCCGAACAATGCCAACTGTGCAGTTCGCTCGGACCAAACCACTCAGCCGCCTGTGGTGCATCGACCAAAGCCAACTGGCACCACACCGAGCAGCAAGCCCGCCACGAAGCCCACAAAGAAGCCCTTCACGCCACCCAATAAGAAGCCTATAGCTCGCCCCAAGCCAACGCCAGCTCCGCCACTGGGCAGCAACGAGGAGTACAAGGTCGTTTGCTACTTCACCAACTGGGCGTGGTATCGACCCGGCCAAGGCAAGTATGTTCCCGAAGATATTGATGAGAATCTCTGCACGCACATCGTCTACGGCTTCGCTGTGCTCAACGGCAATAGTCTGACTATAAAGACGCACGATTCCTGGGCAGACATTGACAATCGATTCTACGAACGGGTTGTGGAGTACAAGCAGAAGGGACTGAGGGTAACGGTTGCCATTGGCGGCTGGAATGATTCGCTGGGCAGCAAGTATGCTCGCTTGGTGCTCGATCCCCAAGCGCGTGCCAGATTCATTGAGAGCATTTTGGTATTCGTTGAGAAATATGGCTTTGAGGGCTTGGATCTGGATTGGGAGTATCCGGTGTGCTGGCAGGTGGACTGTGCCAAGGGCTCGCCAGCCGAGAAGCAAGGATTTGCTGCGCTAGTACGCGAACTCTCCGATGCATTCCGCCCACGCGGACTGCTGCTCTCCGCTGCCGTCTCGCCAAGCAAAATGGTCATCGATGCGGGCTACGATGTGCCAAAGCTGGCGCGTTATTTCGATTGGATTGCTGTGATGACCTACGATTTCCATGGCCATTGGGACAAGCAGACGGGTCACGTGGCTCCCCTGTATTATGTGGATGGCGATGCCAATCCCTACTTCAATGGCAACTATAGCATACACTATTGGCTGGATCAGGGCACGCCGCCCAGTAAATTGGTTATGGGCATGCCGCTATACGGGCAATCCTTCTCGCTGGCTGATCAGAAGGCGCGCTCCTTGAATGACAAGTCCATTGGTCCCGGACAGGCGGGCACCTACACGCGTGCCGGTGGCTTCTTGGCCTACTATGAAATCTGCGAGAAGGTCAGCGCTGGCGGCTGGACGGTGGTGCGTGACGACGAGGGACGCATTGGGCCCTATGCGTATAGCGGCAATCAATGGGTCTCCTACGATGATGTGGCTGATATACGTCGCAAAGCGCAATTCGTGCGCAGCTTGCGTTTGGGCGGCGGCATGGTCTGGGCCTTGGATTTGGATGATTTTCGTGGTCGCTGCGGCTGTGGCAAACATCCGCTGTTGCGTACACTCAATCAAGAGCTGCGCGGCATACCCGGTCAGCGTGCCAACGATTGCACATAGTAATATTGATTATTATTAAGTGTGAATTATATTGATTATGCCAATTCCTTAGCTGCTGACTAGGCTCGCAATCTGTTCTTAAGATTTTTGCCAATTAGTTGTAAGCACACGATTACACACACCCACTCAACCATATAAATAAATAATTTTAAAAAAAATTCAAAAATTTATCTTTGGCGCAAACTCACAAAATACCAAAAAGTATTTTTGCAACCTCTTGCAGCTCCACAACGTTATACCTAAGTTAAGGTGACCTTTATTTTGAAACTCATCAATGCACAATGCCTTCTTTATTTAGCACCAAAAATTTAGAGTGACCATTAATTTGCATGCATCAATAATACCGAATTTGGTCATGACACGTAACGACTGGTCGTTCAATTTTAATTAATTTTATCGATAAGTAAAATAAAATGTTATTTTATTTCATTCGAAAAAAACTAATCTACATGATTAAGTCGTATCGTGTATGTGCCCCTACCAAAAAAATATAGACATATCGTGCGTGGGCGTCTGAAACAGCTGTTTTCGTCCACAATTTAAAGCGGAAAAAAGTGTCCACAAAAACTCAGCACTCAGCACGAGCACGAAAGCCTGAAAGTTTACGAGAGAAAGAGAGAGAAAAAGCTTTTTAATGCGTGCGTATTTTAGCTGAACGCCGTCCAAGCTACGGGCCGTCTCTCAGTCGAACGGCCAACGAAGTTGCAGACGCAACAAATTTTGTGGTCAGCGGGTCGTGGCTCTGTTGTAGGCAAAGTCTCTGGTGGTGCGTGGCAACGGCAGAGCCCAAAGCGCAGCTTCTGTTATTGTTTATGCACACAAACAGCACACGCACACACACACACAGGCACGCATATTTACAAAATCGAACGCAGCAGCACAGTGCGGCAGCTTTAGTGCGCTGCTCTGGCGCTCGGTGACGTCACAATTTTGATCGCGACAGCCAAATTGTATAAGAGCAACAACGATGAAGCAAGCCTACCGCATCACCTTCGGGCGTTTAGTGCGTCACATTCACAATCAACAGCTATCGCCCGCCATCAACAATTGCCGCAAATTTACCTGCCTGCCGACCAGCTACAATGAGAGCAACATCATCAGCCACATCTGCAACAGCAGCCACAGCAACATTCTGGCGCAACATTTGCCCATTTCGACGCGCAACTACTCCAAGTTCAGCACGCACCTGAACAGCGAACGTGCCATGGAGCTGCTGTGCAATCTGGACGCAGACGAACGGCACAATTTACGGGATGCAATGTTCAAACTTGAGGCCGACAAGGAGAAGAAGCAGTACGAAAGTAAGTAAAGTTTCCTATAGATCAAAGGCCTAAAATAGAAAGTGATTCGCGGCTTGCTTACGAAATGAACGGCGACTCGACTACGAGCTACCCTGTGTGTACAGCATAGCTGCTGCTATGCCTCACGAATACTTCAAATAAATAACAATTTCTATCATTTAAAACGTATTTCAAACTAAAGTATCTTTAATAAAAGTCGAAATAAAATCATTCATTTAAAAATCATCTCTTTTAAGCATGTTCCTAATTTTGCTAAAATTATAATCTAATAAATACATTATATAATTAAATATAAATGTATTTATTATTTATATTATTTAACTTAATTAACTTTTACTTTGCAATATACGAACTTCTTTTAATTAAATATTTTATAATATTTGGTAATATTCTAAATTGTGATAGAAAGTATTTCTTTAAAAGTTCAGCAACTGAAAAACTGATTTGCAACTATTTTTTATAAATTTTGAACGATTTAACAATTCGAATTGAAGCTCGAAAATGTTTTTTTTTCCATATGATTAATTTCTTGTAATATTCTCGAGTTCAATTCAAAACTTTTTGAATACTTTTTGCCTTTATTATAAACCTTTCCGCCCACTTGGATTGGGTGGCAGGCAGAAGCATACGCTTAAACTAAACTAAATCTAGGGATACTCGAGGTCCTGCTGAATCCTGGGTCATGTTCGGGGCTGCCTTAGACTGTGTAGTGCATGGAAATGCCTATTTAGACCAGTCCGTGCTTCTTGGCCTCCGTTTTGAAGCACATGCTGTATTTCTCGGCCGCCTCGCAGTGATCGTCGGGCACCGCGATCGCGGAGCAGATGTCTCCGATCTCGAGGGCCAGCTTGAGCTTGGAGGGATCACTGCCTGTGTACTGCTTTGCCTTCTCGCGGCCTGCCTCCGTGTCCAGTTTACCATTGTCGTTCAGCACCTTGAAGTTCTTCATGACACAGGCGCGCAGGCACTTGCCCTCGTAGGTGCCGGCGGGCTCGTGCTTCATGGCACTCTGGACATCTGCATCGCTGGCGCCGACCTCGCCCTTGCAGCGCTCCGCCGTCTCCACGAACTTGGCCATGGCTTCCTTGTCATCGAAGGCTCCAATCAAAGCGGCGCCCAGCAAGGCGACAAAGACCACAGAGTAGACGAAACGTTGCATGTTGTTAACTTGGCTAGTTGGCTGGCAAACTAAACTGTTGTCGTTTATGTCTAAATGTTGGCTTTTTATAGCCGTTCGCCGTAGCCTGTCAGCTGTGAAATTATATATTTCAATACGTTTATCAACTCGACAATATATTCACAACTAATTGTCAAATTTTAATATGCATAATTAAACAGTAGAGCCCTAATTATAAGTACTGAGTGAGCAGCATAGCCGAGCAATGCCGCGCAGCAGCGACTGCCACTGCCACTGCCACTGGCACTCCCACAGCAAAGCTTCCATAAGTAACTGATGCCAAATTTGTTCTGTGGCAGCCGCACAGCTTTCCTCTTGGGCGTACGTGACTCCTGGCGCCGACATCACAGCAAATCAACGCACAGATTTTCCAGTTTCCTGTGCGCGCACCCTCTGCGCCTGCCACCCACCACAAAATGTGTGGCATCATTTATTCAACTGATCCAAATATATGTGATTTGTTTGCACAGCCTAATCGATGCCAGCATTAACATGATTTAAGTGTTTGCTTGTGATTCATGTGGATAGAAAAATGATTGGCAACAGTTATTGAGTCCTTGGCAAGATTTTGTGTTTGTTTGGCAATCATGTTGTGTTACCTACCTTTGTAATAACTAATTAAATCCTTGGCAACATTTGATGTTCGTTTGTGCTGATAATAAAATAAGTTGGCAACATTTGTTGCTTTGCTGATAACATTTTTGGCAACTGTGCCCAAACACTTGCTGTTGGCAACATTCGTTCCTAAGCTTGTTCTAGATCCATATTTCCCATAAGTAAAGTGAAATTCAACAATGTTGCTAGTAAGGCTTAGATCAAAATTTGGAAACATACATTAAGCAATATGTCTAGCTACATTTAAGAAGCTTTAAAGATATATTGCTGCTAGGAATGTTGCGAGCACAGAGTAAATGCTTGTAGAATGCTTGTAGACAGGCTTTAGACAACATGTCGATGGCAACATATTGTTGGGAAAAAATGAATAGAAAATGTAGCTCGAAAAGATTGTATACATGTTGCTAGCTCAGATTTAAGATTACGTTGATATTTTATAGCATGTAACTAGCAACATAAGGCCTAACAAAAATATTACCTAGATATCAAGTAGTAAACTGTTGGTAAGCATGTTGCTAGCATATTTTAAACTTGATATAATGTATAAGAAACATTTAGCTAGCAACAAAACATGATAAGCACGAGTCCTTGTAGCAACATGCTAAGCAAATTGTTTTCAAACATAGAACATCATAAATCAGTGTATACGCTTTTTGCGCTATACAAGAGCGTATGTCTGAAGCCAACAAGGTCTTTAAATATGCGCATTTAATCATGCATTTGTTTTCATATACATGTACTCTTATATATGTACATATATATATACAAATATACATAGCTGTGTGTGTGTGAACATGTTTGTATTTACATTTTTGTTCGCAGCACATGGCATGGAATATATGTATCTAAAGGTAACGCATTTCTCTGCGCGTTTAGTGGCTGCTCATTAAAATTTCAATAGCAGCAACAAAAACCACAAAACTTTTGCGCCGCCTGCAGCTGGTTGAAACTTGCCGAAACTGCTTTACGCACCAGCGTAGCCGTCGACGTCGCAGCCGACGCAGCAGCAGCTTTTATTTTGACGTTTTTTTCTCTCTCTCTATATTGCTCTTGCTAACAGATATTTTTTGACTCTTTAAAACTTTTTGATTGGCTTTTTTTCTGCTCTTGAATGACAGCAAATTGGGTTAGGAAAGCAAAGAAGAAGAAAACAAAAAGTGCATTTATCAACACTTGACTACAATCTTCACTATTTCAACTCATCAGCAGAGAAGTTTCACGAGTTTCCTCACGTAATTTTTGCCTTTTTTTTCTGATAAGAACGTGTTGAGTGATTTGATAAATATTTGAGCATAGCAAATGTTACGTGAAACAAACTCTTAATCATGTTGCTGATACATGGGAAGACATTGGCCACTTGAGCGCAAATAGAAAGGGATTACCAGAAGTTTGATAAGGAAAATAGAAAAGGTTCTAAACAGTTTTCAAGCAAATTTAATTAACTTACATGTATATAAAACAAATGCAATTTAAATTTATCTTTTTAAATTTTGTATAACTATTATCGATTTGCTTTTTAAATAAAGATATAAGGTCTGAAGTTCTTGTTATCTCTACAACTTAGTGTCTGCTCAGAATTTGAATAGCATCGAAACTATTTATATAGCTAATGAAGACCCTTTTTCTTGTGACAATCACAATAACATGTCCCTAATCTTAAACTGGAATATTGAAAGTCAAATGCGGACGGAAGTAAAATTTTGCTTCCGATTGGCTTCACACTTCTTCTGCACAGCAATGGTCGAGAGCGCGTTGGCAGAGCATTAACATACATGTATGGCGAGTGCATATTGTGCATGCTGTGAGCATAGAAGATTATGCATGCATGTATTTGTGAACAATTGAGACGCGCCATTGGCTGCAATGCACTTGCCGAATATACGATGAGGCTCCAGTGAGCGGAAGAGTAAAACATATAAGTTGCGTGTTCTGAACTAAGTGTGTAAGAGTGTGAGTGCAGGCGACTTAGTCTACGAGCGCCTGATCTAAAATTCATGTAATGCGACCGTGTAAACAAACAAGAGAGAATACATGCATGCCAGTTGTGTGAGAGACAAGAATACAGGCTAAGCGAATGGTTTAGTGTATGTGTGCAAACTCAGCTGTAACGCGCGAGAGTAAAATGTCTGATCTCAAATATGTGTAGTAGAGAAGGAAGACGCAATGCGTGCATGTATATGTGCACTCTCTTCATTTAGCTGTAATGCGCTGTGAGGGAAGCACTCAGAATTTAGCTGTAAGTGTATTGGTGTGAGTGCCAGCGTCAAACGGCGCGCAAGCTCAGTTAAACGATTTAGTAACTGAACGTCCGCCGTGCTGATCGGACGCATTTCTGCTTACGCAAAAAATGTGTGAAATGCAAATAATAAAAAAGTCATGCAGACTAAGTGAGAGGGAAATACTATTGAGCAGCGATATAGACTGAACCTAGGGTAACTGAGGTAATTAAATAACTAGAAGCCTACTTTAAACAAAATCAAAGTAAGCCAAATAAAAGTTGGAAAACAAATAGCAATTATGCTAACAGCAAAAGTCTGTTATATATCAATATAAGCCTTTGTCTACTTTATAACAAAAGCATGCAAATTTTAACGGTATTACAATGAGGTGTTTATATAGCAACATTTCAACTTGACGATTTAGCTCAACAACTTTAACAACTGTTGCTTTTGAAGGCAATTTTAAACAGCTTCACTTTATGCTTGTTGCCCTGAAAAGCTTTGATACTTGAATGAAAAGCCAAGTTAATCAAATTAGCGGTTGGCTGGAGCACTCAAAATACCAGCAGGCATTCCTTTCTGCTTTTTTTGTTAGCTACATCCGCAAAAGTGGAATGTCGCACAATATTTGCGCAACAAGCCTCCAGAACCACGCACAGCTAACACAGCTAACTCTGATAAGCAGCAAGAGGCAATTCGTTTGCTATTAGGGTTGGTCGAAGCTGATTTTCGTACACTTAAGCACACACACCTACATAGACGCCTCCAAGAACACGCCCACTTGTCTGCCCCGGGCACATTAAATGATGTTCATCGTGCTGTGCGAGAAAAAGTCGTTGGGCCTTGAAGCGAACAGCTGCTCAAGGAGCTACAGCTCCAAAGCAACCCCAACTCAACCTCCCTGTAATGCTCTCTCTCCCTGTCTCCCTAGCGCTCTCTCTCTCTCTCTCTATTTTGCTTATGATTTTGCTGCGTACAGAGCGATTGTATTAAGCGTTATTTGACCTCAATTCAGACTTAACTAAGCATTGTATCCGCTTCCCTATGTTGGCTTAGTCAACAAGAGCCAGAATTTCAAATTTACATTTGCTTTGGGTCTTCATTTATCACAATTACCAAAGGCCCAGTCGAGGGAATTCAAAGTGGGCGGGGCGCCTTAAAAGAGGAGGCATATGCAACATATTTGATAGCTGCATCATTTATAACCTCCACTAAAGCTGCAAGTTATATATGGTATATGCAGCTCTTTGATAGGCTGACAAATGAGCCCACAGAGCAAACAATAAATTTTACACTATTAACACAACAACAACAGCTAGTAAAAAAATGCAAAACGGAAAATCAATAGGAACAGTAAGCAAGGAAAACCCAACGGACCTCGAATAAACAACAGTTAAGCGAAATATCTGATTGAATGTCAAATGTAGGGAAAAACTCAATTGAAACTATCATAGAATGTATGCAGAGAAAAAGTAAATTAAGGAAAAAATATATAATATTATATATTTATTTATATTTCTTTAAATTTATATTATTGTTAGTTTTGCCCTCTTTCATCCTTAAAAGTCTGTAATAAATTTAAATTTAAACAAAGCAAAACTAAGTAGAAACTTCTTTAAAAAATTAAAAATAAACTTCGTAATTTTCAAAATTTTTTAAATTATTATAGCTTAAACTTTTCTGTAACATTTAAAGACATAAAAAAGGTCGTTAAATGAACCGGAAACGGAAAAGGACAAATATGAAAAATGAGAAAGCGGCTCAAATATGATGGCCTTTGAAAAGAAATGTTGCCCGAGTGGCTGTCGACTTTTATGACAGCATTTTGAAGTCCAGTATCTCTCTCTCTCTCTTTCTCTCTATTGTTGATGGAAATTATTCAAGTCTAAATGAGTCATTCATGGCAACGCGCTGCAAAAGTATGCAACATAAAACTCTGCCTTTCGCAATTTGAATCAATTTAGCGAAATTTTCTTTTTTACTTTAGAAAAGCACGTGCCGATGACTTTGACAGCATCTTGAGATGCCACCTGAGTATGCCAGCGAGAGATGGCGAGAGTGGATGAGAAAAATGCTATCAAGTTTGAAGGGCCAGGCAACAGGCTGCTGCTGCTGCTGCTGCTGCTGCTGCTGCTGCTGCTGCTCTGTGTGTGTCTGGTCCTTTAAAAGTCATAAAACAAAGCAACTCGAGGCAAAGCACAACAGACAGACGAACCGACAGACGCCCAGAGAGCGTGAATAAAACAAGGGCAACAAAATAAAAAGAGAGCAACGGCAGCACAAAAAGCAAAGCGATAAATTGAATACGTTGCACGTTAAGCTTTTGGGAAGCTGTAGCAGACGCAGAAGCAGCAGCAGAAACTCCGGCCCTCTCGCCCTCCGTCCGGGCAGGTGTACATGACTAAATACGTGTACATCAACACACCCACACTTTCATGCATGCGTAAGCATGTACATATATATACACACATATACACACACACCCACACACACAAAGCTGGCTTAGAAAGTTTTTATGCTGTGTTTTCATGACCTCTTTGATTGTAGCGCATTGAGACCGCCGCAGCATTAGTTGAGTTTATATAAAAAGCAATAACAAAAAAGTTTCAATTTACATTAAAAGCAGCAACAGCAAAGAATGTTTTAATTTAGCCAACATTAACAGAGCTTTTCGGGATAGCAAGTATATAAATATTTTTTTTAAATTTGTGTGAGGTTTTTAAGTAATTTATAAAAATTCTTTTGGGTAGATAATTTGCTTTTAATTAAGTATAAATGTATATATGTGTATAATATATTTATATATGTACAATATATATATTTTTAATTCCAAATAAATTGCATTAAGCTAAATCCACTTGGAATATTTTATATATTTATTTTACATAATGAATGTAATAGATTAATGTGAATATGTTCGCATATTAAAGCTTAAATTAGTATTTCAATATATTATATAATACATGATTTATGAACTCAACAGGCAATCTATAACGTAATTCCCTTGAAAGTTCTGAAAATTGACAAATCAACGATTTTTTATATTTAATGTCTTATTTTATCATTTATAATGCAAGTCCCTTGAAATGCCGTTAAAATTCGTTTACCAGCAAAAACCGCTAATGATACAAACCGTTTCCAGTAGCTTAAGTAGTGTTGTTAAGTCATTTAAATTCAGCTAGCACCAACAAACACACACACACACACACTCAATCACACACACTTGCATACAAGCAAACAGTTGCTCGTCCTTGAATACACTTTGGCTAATTTGCGTTGCGTGCCTTCGGGCCAACCTCTTGACTTGTTCATTTGTTATGTAAGTTGAACTTGCTGAACTTCTTGACAATGCTTTCATTTTTTACTTTTGGTATAGAGAATATATATTTGCATATACATATGCATAGTTTTAGCCAATTTATATGCTAAACAGCCGCAGTAGCAGCGACAGCCAGCGAACCAGCCAATAAGCACAAGTAAATGTTATGCAAATTGTCTACACTCGCACACACACAGAGACACATTCATTCACACACATTCAAATTGAGTCTGCAATACTATTTGTTCTCCTTCTGTTCGCTTGACAGCAAACACACACACACACACATAGGCACACCTATACAAACACATATCACGTTTTCCTGTTGCTTCTCTTGAGTGAAATTGCTTTAACCATGATAGCAATACGGTTTGCGTTGTGTGGTCGTATAAGTGAGAAAAAGAATATATATTCTATAGTAAGAGCAAAGGGAAGAAAAGCAAAAGTCAGCCAGATTTCACTTCGAGTACCAATTGAGTGTTGCCTACTTTCCAGCGCCCGTTACAATTTTCGCTTGCCTGCCGACTCTGTGTGTGTGTGTGTTTGCTCAGCAAATCAAACTTGCACGTATGTGTGTGTGCGTGTCTGCATACTGTGTGTATACACACATATGACACACTGAGCAGCACGCGAAAAAAAAGGGATGTGCCGAGGTCAGTTGATTGCCCTTGTGGCCTCTCTATGGTAATACCCGAACCGTCAATGTTTGCCTAGGGCATATACTATTTGATATGTGTAAAAAAAATTAATTGCATTGATTTTTCAATTTTACGTAGAATATCTAACAAAAAAACACAAACTTATGCTACATTACATGCTTTTTATATTTTTCTATCTTAATAAATGTCCCAAACTTTTCGAACGAAAGAAATAAATAATATTTTTAGGAAATTTCTTTCGATATACTCTGTAATATACATAATTTGCCATGTTATTCCTGTTATGGTGTTATTATCTTTAATATTTGCTGCATTTTGCAATGCAATAATTTCTAAAATTCAATTTGTCATTAATTCGCTGAGTCGACGGCCCTCATAAAACTTGTGTGCTAGAGCTTAGCCCACTGCGCTATTAGTTCGGGTATTTCAATAGTCTTAACAGTTCTGTTCGCCTGCTTTATGGCATGCTTTTTTGCTGTGATTTGGTAAGTCAAGTGTGAATTTTATGCTTTAACACTTAACCGACAGCTAAACGACATAATTGCCCTGAAAATTGCTCCAGTGCTCATGCATTAAACGAGCGCCTTGCCCAAAACTCTTGACTAGGGAATTTACTTTTATGAGCCTAACAGCATTCACGTACGTGTGTACTACACATGTATTTACGTACATACATATGTATATACATTCAAACATGTGCTTATATTTAACTGATATGCGACAGGCGGTGCCTAATGACAAAGTAAGTCCTTGGAGCATATGTTTTATACCTCGCATTAATCGCGTAATGGGTTAATTGATAACTGCATTCTAATTACAGCTGGAATATTAGGGTTATGCTGACTATTTCGGTTTGGAAATATTATTTTGATTAGTGTTCCTGTCAATATTACAACATGTAGCGTATGGGAACATGAGTCTGAGAAGGAACCCAATTTAAAAACAATGTTAAAACGTGTTCTATATTTTTAACTAAATACAATTTTGTTCTGCAAAAACTTTAGTTTCTTTTAAAGTTTTTAGAGTAAACAATTGTAATGCTAATACTTAAAGAAATTAGTTTTTAGTGTTTAATTTTTTTTAAATGTACAAAAATTGTGTTTTACCCAACACTAAATTTTCTGTACGGTATTGTCTGCTTGTAAGCAACTCATACATTTGAATAAGGACGCACACGGTCACACTGACGTGTTTAATGGCTGCCGTTGTGATTGCTCTGAGCGTAGCTGTAAAATAATTGCGCACTTTGGGGTGGCGATAATGATAATGACGATGACATTTACGAGCTCTGTTTGACCTGTGCAAGTGTTAGGTATTTATGTATGTGTGTTCCTTCAGCTGTTGACTTTCACTTTTAAGCGTAATTATAACAAACATTACAAAGGCCAAAGTGCTCAGCAAGCTAACGACACCCAAAGTGCCGCTATAATGCGTCGCACTTCAACACAGGCAAACACACGCACAGTAACTTTGCATAAGGGGAAAAACATACGTGCGCACATATTTACACACACGGCTGCGTAGGCGCGACTGCATTTGCGACGCGTGAAACTATGCAATGGTAAATTAACGACAACTAAGGCCATTGCAAAACCAATTTTATTTTCACAGCAGCATAAAAACACACGGAAACACATGAGGGCACTCACAAAATACGGTTATGCGTGCATACTTGGCAAGAGACCCATTCAAAAATGCAGAGCTAACCGTAAATTACTTATTTTTAGTTAATTGAATAAACCAATGGCACCCAACGTGCTGCCAACGTGCATTACGCACATTCACACAGCCAAATCAACACGACTGCTAAGAGGAGGCTATTCGCCCTCAATTTACAAAAATCCAAGCTCAAAAATGCTGATGAACTCACTGTTTATGGATCACTTTTGCGTTCACAGTGCTGCCTGATTGGCAAAATAATTAGAAGTTCTCCATTAACTTTTAAATTTGGCAACTTAAGCAATAATTGACATTCCAACGTCGTCGCAGAGTCATAACTGACAAAATTGCTAAAAGAGTGGCAACATCTCATTTATATTTTAAAAATTTTTTACACCTATGAATTCATGCAGCAAAATCTTAAATTTAAATTGCAGCACACACCCACATACTGCTGCATACACTCATGCGTAAAACCATTTATGCCCATGTAGCTTGTTAAATGCAATTTTAATGCAATTCGCATGGCATAATTTGCAAAGAGGCTGACTGGGCATGGCGTTGCGAGTGCTGTGCGAGTTTTTCTTATTTTATTTTTTATATAAAAGCTGACACCTTTCAGCTTTTCACCTTTTTTAATTAGCGTTGTGAGTGGAAAGACAAATTATAAAATTTATATGCAAGCTACAAATTGTATGAATATTTATATTTTAAGAGGTTGAATATAAATATCTTTGGGAATTTAATATGGAAGGAATACAAAAAAAATGTATAATATATATAAAAACCAAAAAATAAAATAAAGAATTCAACTTTAGATTGAAATATGATTAGAAGTTTATAAAAATAAGAAAAAGAATTAAAAAATAATAAATTATAAATTGTATTTTTTAATACATAAAATTTAAAAAAATGAATGAAAAATGAAAAATTAATGAAAAGAGGGTAATTCTATCATTAAATTACTCTTAATATAAATTACATACATCTCTGTAAGAAACATTTAATAATTATTAACTTTTAACCTTGGACTAAGTCTTCATATCCCATCATTATTATTTTATTTTTTTGACTCGAACTTAAATTTAGATCATGTGCCAAACGATGCATAGAATTAATTATTATTTTAGTATTAGCATGCGAGTAGTAGGTACTTATTAGGTTAATATTATGTTGTATACTCTCATATTTAATGACTTAAACTCTATTCTTTTTTTATTTATTTATTTGCATATATGTAAACACCTTTACCCACATGTGTTTTGATTTTCAACAATGAATCATTTTCAATACACAAAAACAACAAAACAATACTGGAACGAAATAACACACCAAACACGACAACAACAACAACACAATCATCACGTTAAAGGTCAGCTAGCTGTTGGCAGTTGGCGAACACGCTTCGGACGGCTATCCAATAAGGTGGGCGAGGTGGATCCAACGGGCACATTTTGTGCGGTGCCCGATGAGTGGCTCAAAAAGAAACTTGGTAAAAAACATAAAGAGTTACAATTAAGATTTATGTGAAAAGAAAAATGCATGAAAAGAAACCGCAACAAATTTGTATTTCAAGTGGAAAACTTAACTTGTTTTTTTTTGCATTTCTTTCTCTGTTCTTTCACAGTCGAGGCGGCGGAACCACCAACTGCTCGACAGTTGTATAGTAGTAAGTAGAGTTTATATATAATATACATTTTATATAAACATACATAAATACATATATCTATGATTATTATGGTTTTCTTCATTTTTCCCTGTCTTCCTGAAGTTTTCTTTGTGAATGCTGTGCCATTTGTAGCATTTGGTTTTCTGGACAATTTCATTATGATTATGGCCGTAAGTATTTCACAGCTAAAGAGAGTTTTGCCAAAGTTAGCATTTAATATAAGTATAAATTATGAATTGTTATGAATAAAATTCGCAGCTTTCAGCAAAAAAATTAAGAACTCTGTCCAAAGCTAAAAAGCGTTTCCTAAACTATAATTTAAGTCAGAAAGTTACCATAGAAATTTGGTTCTCTTTATTCTGTTGTATTCTAACTTCAAATTTATATCTTATATATGTCTAATAAATAGATAATTATTACTAAATAAATAAATATTTATTAACTTCAAATTTATATCTTATATATGTCTAATAAATAGATATTTAATTTAGTTTTGGTCACTCCTCATTTTTGATATTGCAATGAATTTTTTTTCACTTAAATTAAGATATATTTAATAATTAATAATAATAAGAATTGAATTAAAATAAATTTTTGAAATTAAGTAATTTTTCAAATCTTTATTATTATTATATTCTATAATACTAATTTGAATATTTTAAAAATATATAATAAAAATCTATGCAATATCAAATCAAAATTTCAAATAAAAATCTAGTAAAGCTGATAAAAAATTATTATTTTCCAGGGCGAATATATTGAAAGCTCTTTGGGTCATTTTATAACCGTTTCAACAATGGCAGCTGCAGGATTGGGTAATACCATAAGTGACATTATGGGCATTACGATGGCCACCTATGTGGAAGAGGGATGTCAGATGTTGGGACTTAAACAGCCGCGAATGACACCCGCACAATTTGAATTGAAATCGAGCAAGCGAACTGCCAGCTGGGTAAGCAACTAAACATAGAACATTAAAGATGAACAATAAGCTGGAAGATTCATAGATGCATCCAAAAATGGAATAACTTCTCTTTAAATTTGGGATATGTTAAAATATTCCAGCTAAAGTTAAGTAAAGTTATTGCCGACTATACTTATTCGTGTTTCGAATGAAAATACTGGGTTCATCTAGTCAAATCCGTCTGTCCGTCAATCTTCTTAAGCTCCATAACCTTGTGAAGTAAAGCAAGTAAGAATGTTGCAGTCGGGCGCTACCGACTCGTGTGTATTTGTTACAAACTTGAAGTCGCTATCACTTTAACTAATAGCTTTTCTGAACCAAAATAAGGGTAGAGTAAGGATATCTTCTAGTCTGTCATTGCCGCTTAGAGCAGTGTCACCTGTTACGAACAAAATTTATTGAATTTAATCACACTTTTTTAGGGGCGGATTATTGGCATCACTGCTGGCTGCCTGATCGGTATGTGTCCCCTGTGGGTAATGAAGGACGAATCAAAAGCTGTCGCAGAGGACTAACTCGGCTAAGCGTAACTAGTGTAAATGGTCAATTTAAGCAGAGCGGGCCAGAACTCTGTCCCAACTAAATATTCATTCAATTTTTAAAACGAATTTTAATTTCTAAAATATTGAGGTTTTAGTTATAAAGACGAGACGATGCGCCGCATAATCCTTACTTAGTCAAACAAACTAAAGTGACACTCAATGTACCTACTAACTAAATACTATTTAAGATGAAATGTGTTTGTAGTTAAGTAGGCTTTAAAATTATGACTGCACTCTATAAAGAACAGAAGAGCGCATCTTAACTTAAGCTGCATTTTGTTTTCTTTTCATTTTCCTTCTCTCGGATTGAACTCTAAACTAGCGGTAAATAAATGGAAAAGTTAAAGAACATATATATATATATGTTACTGACAATGTATTGTAGCTGCAAAAGGTCCAAAACAAGAAAACCACAAAAAATGTAAAACTAAAAAATCAAAAATAGAAAATTTTTGTAGTGAACTTAGCTGAAGGTGAATTACATGCCTAAATCATTGGTCATCCATTAACAATTAGCAAAACACCCTAAAAACTAACTTAATATTAATGTAAAACCTGCCGAGTAGAAGAATATTAAGGATAATGTTATTATTTATATCTTTCACTCGCCACACTGCAAAGTGCCTACGAATTGCTTTAACTATGCACCTCACTTCTTGAAGCTATTCCAAATTCATGTTACATTTGATCCAGCAGAAATCGGCTTTAAATAGATTGAAATTGCGTATTAATCAGTAGCAAGAAATTAAAACAAAATAACATTATGTACAATATCAAAGTCCAAATTGTAGAGAGCTTAAAAATAAATATATCAAATTGAAGAACAATTCAAATCTTGTTTAATTTCCGCAAATTTCAATAAAGATCGCCGTTCTATGCGATTTTCAATGTAATTCTGCTTTGCTTTTCTATGCGATTCTCAAGCAATACCTACCTCCACAATTTTCTTGTATATTAAATCCCATTTCTACGTTTTCATGCTTTAAATATTATACACTTTTTCTTTTAGTTACTTTTCATTCATTTCATTATACTCGCTCACCATGTGAAAAGGGTATATCGGATATTTAGCTATTTCCAGTTAGTTTTATTCGAGCGAGTGTTATACAGTCGGTTGCAACGATTTTAATTATTAGTATTATAAATATTAATATTGTTGGAAAAATATAATTTATTTGTAGTCAAAATTGATTTTTGACCCAATTGAAAGAATTGCGCTTGCATTTATGAATTGATAAAAAACTGAATAGATTATGTTCTTAATAAAAAAAGGAGCTGAAGGGAAAATTGTAGATCGCACTTTAAATTAATTTGGGCCACAATTCCGGCCAGCGCACCAAGAACGACTGATGAGAGATCGCTTCGCTTAAGACTTGCCAAAATACGGAGGTGTTCTTAGCTTCATTCCAATTGTATGTCTTTTGGCCCAATTTCTTTATCGGATGGCGCTGCTCACTATACTGCGATTTGATGTTAAGCCAATGCTGTGTGTTGTCCTGCTGCTTGGTAGCATATTCCATTCGATAATTTGGCGGTAACAAGGGATTGGGCGGTCGCTCCTCGCGTTGCCTGCGTTGCAGTGCAATCAGTCTTTCCTCGTCGCAATATTGTTGCTCCAGTTTCATGAGTTCGGCTTCCACATTTAAAGCATTGCAACTGTCATTGTGTGCTGTAGCTCGAACTGATAGTTCAACGGGCGCAGCATCAGTAACATTGGGCGTAACAATGGGTGACAGTGGATTGAGCGTTTGAGTGTTTACCGTTGCTGTGGCATTAGTTGTGTCGGCGCGTGCCCGATGCCAGAGCGTGCCCGGCAGCTGGCTTGCAATGAAAAATGCGCCCGCAATGGTAAACACACTTGCCGCATAGCTCAAGGCCATAACAGCCAGGTTATTTAGCAAAAATTTCATTAGAGTAAAGCTGGGCAACAGCTGCATCAGTTCACTATAGGTTAGCCAGCCGCGTCGTAATCCCTCGCGCTGGGCCAGCGTTCGTTCCACGCTGCTAAGCTTTTCAAAGAATTGCTCGTTCGATATGTATATCTTCCAGTCCTGCCAAGACACAAAACTCTCAATTAATAATCACAATTGTATATAGAAATATAAAAAAGGCATTTACAATGGCTGTCAGAAACTCGAGTTCCAGTTGCTTGAGTTTGTCTTCGGCCATGCTGCCTTCTTTTGCCCAATCCTCCAAATAGAATCGCTCATCGTGGCCGGCATAGAATTTCGTTGATATCATCTGTAAGCAAAAAACAAAACAAAACAAGTTTATGAGTAACCACGTGACGTCACTGCCTTGTGTGCATGGCCAAAATCCCAAGCCAGAAGTTGCTATAAATAACGAAGAATTACACAAATCTATATTACATGCATACAATGCACCTGTAACATATCAGATATTCTCATTTAACAAAATCTACTTGCAAGCCACAATAAAAATAACAATCAAATTGCTTACTCATTATGGTCAAAGATTTAGAAAGTCTATTGCTTATATTGATGTGATGTCACTGTTTTGTGAATGGCCACAAGCCAAAAAAAGGTGATATTGTATATAACAAACAGTTATATATACAAATATGCATGCTATGCAGTCAATGCGACTTATCACTTTAGTTGCCAGCTGCCCTCATTTAGTTTTAAATAAATGCCAAGCTACAAAAACAACGATCAGACAAACACACGCTCACACGTTATTTACTCATTATGGGCTACGCTGTTTTAGAACGCTTTTTACTGTCTATGTGTGTGTGTGTGTGCCCGTGTGCATGTGCGAGTATTTGTGTTTTGTCTTTTCTGTGATTGTGCGCACATACATACAAGTGTGTATGCGTTATTGCGCGGAAGGTGGGTTATCAATCAACAGGTTCTCGTCACGACCTGCTGACAAAGTGAAAATAACACACTTACCAATGACACAACAAATAGTTCTTGTGGCGTGATTCTGTAGCCATAGCCCGGATCCAGGCTATTCAGTCGATCTAAGTAGATCAGCGCCATTATGAGAGAGCATGGTGTTGCATGGGTTTTTCCAGCCGCAATGGAACTCAAACGATGCAGTGAGTGGCCGCGATGTGGCTCCGAGAACAGATCAGCGGCATACTCGGCAAAAGGCATAGAAACTTCCATATCCGCCTCCGTTGTGTCCACACCTCCATAGTAAAGCGTTTTTCGTATACGATTTATAAACTCCCCGTGCTGCATCACCTGCGAATTGTAAATGCAATTAGTAAAGCTTATTGTGCGTGACCAATAAAGACAATTGCAAAAATTACCTTTTTTGGCGCAGATGCGACGAATTTACTTCGCCCCATTGGAAGAAAATATTGTTCTGCGTATTTAACGTGGAAACGAAATGCTTTCGAGGGGAACCGTCAACGTTGCCACATTGGCAAAAACCAACTGTTTGGTCCTATAGCTGAGCACAACAGGGTTGTCAACGGCAATACAAGCCAAGATATAAAATTTAATTTTATCTACGCGTTCTATTGTAATTGTCCAAAAAAAATAAATTTTGAATTCTGACATGTATATAGTTAGTTCTCATGCAAAATCTGTCACGAAATTATCATGAGTACTATTTTTCTTATTATTGTTATTGTTCGGTACGGGGATTGCCATTCGCATGTTCACGTTTAATAACAAATGATTTCGCAAGACTTGAATACGTTTTATTAGAGAAACAAAAATCATAAATAACATTTAAATCATGTCACGATTCAGCGGTGCGCTGCAACTAACTGATTTGGATGACTTTATAACTCCTTCCCAGGTGAGCTAGTCAGAAATTTAAAGTTGTAAGGAATCAGTACAAATGAAGTACATTTTAGGAATGCATTAAGCCCGTGACAATTGATAAGACGAAGTCTAAAACTGGATCTAAAATAACTGTACAAGCAGATGGCTACTACGAAGAAACAGAGGTACAAATAGCTTATAAATGTGTTTAATTTATAATTAAAAATATTTACAAATTTATAGAGTGGCAAGCAAAAGCTTCAGAAGGTTGAGATAACACTGCAAGATTGCCTCGCCTGCTCCGGCTGCATAACCTCCGCGGAAGGTGTGCTCATTACACAGCAAAGCCAAGAAGAGCTGCTCAAGGTGTTGCGAGAAAATGAAAGGCTCAAAGCTTCTGGCGATAGTGACCAGGTCCGTACAGTTGTGTTTACAATTGCCATGCAGCCGGTGTTAAGCCTGGCCCATCGCTATGGCCTCAGCGTCGAGGAGGCAGCACGTCATTTGACAGGTTATCTGCGGCAGCTGGGCGCGGACTATGTGGTGAGCACAAAGATTGCTGACGATCTGGCGTTGCTGGACTGCCGACAGATGTTTATTGACCGATACCGAAACAATGCCGAGCTCACCATGTTGAGTTCCTCGTGTCCCGGTTGGGTGTGCTATGCTGAGAAAACGCATGGCAATTTCATATTGCCCTATATTGCCCCAAGTCGTTCGCCGCAGCAGATAATGGGTGTGCTGGTAAAAAACAGGCTAGCCGAGTATCTGAGTTTGCCTAGTTCTCGCTTCTATCATGTCACAGTTATGCCCTGCTATGATAAGAAATTGGAAGCTTCACGCGAAGATTTCTACAGTGAGGTGAACAGCTCTAGGGATGTGGATTGTGTCATTACCTCAAGTAAGTTAAATGCATACTCTTCTCAACAATACAATATATAGTAATTCTCCTTTTTTTTTTGCAGTTGAAGTTGAGCAAATGCTTCAGACAGAGGAAAAAACGCTACAGCAATTTGAACCCTCAAACATGGATTGGCCCTGGGGAGATGATTCCCCCGAGTCTATGATATGGGCACACGAGTCCACCATGTCCGGTGGCTATGCGGAACACATTTACAAATATGCCGCCAAAAAGCTGTTCAACGAAGAGACGCCCGATGACCTCCAATTCAAGGCGTTGCGCAATCGAGACTTTTCTGAAATTAGCTTGGAAAAGGATGGAAAGGTCGTACTTAAATTTGCCATTGCAAATGGCTTTCGGAATATACAAAATCTAGTGCAAAAGCTAAAGCGTGGCAAGGGACCAGGCTATCATTTTGTTGAGGTGATGGCCTGCCCATCCGGATGCATCAATGGTGGTGCACAGGTGCGTCCCACTGCGGGGCAACATGTGCGCGAATTGACCCAACAACTGGAACAGCTGTATAAGCAACTGCCACGTTCAAATCCTGAAGAAGACGAAACTAAATATATATATGAAGATTTCGTCTATAACGCCCAAAGCCTACTGCATACCGAATATCATGCTGTGGAAAAACTCAATACAGCTTTAAACATTAAATGGTAACAAACTATTTATTTTGACTCATTGTAGATATATTTTCTGTATATAAGTTACATTTGTTATTAAAGTTTTATGCAAGACCAATAATTGTCTGGTATTAATAAATAATAAAATAAAAATATGTAACAGCTATATATTTGTATTTATTTTCTATTCATTAATTAAATGTTCATTTCATTTAGTCTCGAATATATGCTACATTTAAATAATGCATTAGAAAAATTAAAATAAAATGCCTATTTAAAATAATAAATACATTAATAACAAATTACAATTACTTTGAATACAATAAAATATTAGTTTTGTAACGCCAAAAGCTATTGTTATCGATACCACACATTGTTTTCAGGTATCGATAAGTCAACAACAGCACCAACATCCCTAAATGAAATACACGTAAACCTTTCGCCAAATCACCGAAGCAACATAATATGCTATTTAAAATATGTTTTGTGCTGCCACTCATATCGATTGCAATTGCACTTGATGAACCACAAAAGATCAAAGATAAATCCACTAAATTACCACCTTGCAAAGCTTGCACAGTACTCGTGGAATCATTTAACTTGGGCTTGGAGCGCACAAAACGAGGCAAACATGCCGGCGGAGATGCAGCCTGGGAGCAGGAGAAAATGCGTGTCTATAAGAATAGTGAAGTGCGTTTAGTTGAGATCCAAGAGCAATTGTGCAACGAGGTTAAACGAGGACAGGATCACTGCCATATGTTAAGCAACGACCACGAGTCACTGATTGAAGAATGGTTTACAAGCAAGCAAGATGAGGAGCCCGATTTACATGCTTGGCTTTGCATAAACCAGCTGAACGTTTGTTGCCCAAGCAATACGTTTGGACCCACCTGCCAGCCGTGCACAGATTGCAATAATAATGGTGAGTGGTAAATGTGACAATAAAGTACATTTCTTATATATTTAATTTTCCAGGCAAGTGCAAGGGCAATGGCACACGTAAAGGCAATGGACAATGCCTGTGTGACAGTGGTTATGCGGGCATCAATTGCAACGACTGCGATGAGAACAATTATGAATCTTTTCGGGATGCCACAAAGCTACTATGCACCCCATGTCATGCTGCTTGCGGTGATGGCGGGTGCAATGGAGCTGGTCCCAAAAGTTGTCGCAAATGCAAAGATGGTTGGCGCATGGACACCGAAACCGGTTGCGTGGACATCAACGAATGTGTGGATCAGCATCGAGCTTGTCGACCACAGCAGTTCTGCGTTAACAACGAAGGCTCATTTTCTTGCCTGGAATGCGATCGTTCCTGTGATGGTTGCGATGGCGATGGCCCGGATATGTGCAAGAAATGTGCCGATGGCTATCAGCTTAAGGATGGCAAATGTCAAGGTGAGTGTTTGTGCAACTATTGATAAATATAGTTTGACAACTATCACCATTTCTCTTGCCTCAATCACTGGAACTGTTTACACAGATCTATCCTCGCAGCAACGTGATTCATATGTGAACATAACACGACTTCTCACCTACTTCGGCATGTGCGTGGCCACCTGTGTCATCTTCCAGAGCTCGACACATATTGCGTATATCGTTGGTGGTGCGGTGGCCATCTATATAGCTGCCTCCGAATATTGGTTGAATTGGACAGCACAGAGCGGCGCTCAAAAGCCAGAAATTGATACACAGCAGCTAGAGGCCTTGATCATGAAGTCATTATAAGGCAAAAAAAAAAAAAGAAAACCAAAAATGAAAAGACATTTGTAATGTTTGCTGATCTATACGTTAATTTTATTCTATGAATAATTCGTACATAAGCATTTGTCTGCAGTGTTTAAATTATGTTATGTTTTTCTATATTTTGTTTGCAGTAGAGTTGAAAGCGGAAATCGATTCCCAACCGGAGGTGGTGGCTTCAATGCGAGAGGAACTGTAATACGCACAGGTCACAGCCACAGCTTAGTCAAATTTAGTTTAATACAATTACCAAATTTGATTTCAATTAAGATATACCAAAATTGCCAAATTTGAAAAATATTTTCTTTTGTATAATGAAAAACAAATTTTGTTCGTTTAATTTCAAAGAAATAACATTGTAGAGTTAAAATGTAGTTGGCCATATGAGCTGAATTCTATTAAAAGACTTCCAAGTATTACCGATGTATTTGAGTGCAAGTGAAATAAATTAATCACATTTTTTAAACTATTTTTTGCCAATTTTATACCTTATACAACAGGTGCCAATTCGAAATTTGGAAATGAAATTTTGTAAGCAAGTAAAAGTATCGATACATCTTCTTTTATTGTTGAAAACTGCTGTAAAATATAAAAAAAGGTTTAAGCTACTTAAATTTTAAATCAAATTGTAATTTTGTTTGAAATTTAAACATCAACAATATGCAGTAAAAGTATCGATTTTGACCTGTTTTATACCAATTTCAACAGCTGTGCAAAAGTGCCAATTTGAAAATTTTAACTGGCTGTGTCGGAGGCTAATAAAAGAATCGATATATCATTTCTTGCTGTGCATGTGTTATACCATTCCGAACAGCTGGTATGAAATGTAAGCGCCAAATTTGAATTTGCTACAAACACAAATTAAATAAAACCATATCATTTTTATATAAAACTTTTTAAGTGACATTTTACTCGCTATTTCGGCTTCTTGCTTTCGAAAGTTTGCTTTGACGATCAATTTAAATGATTATTTCTAACGTAATATCCTGTTAGAGCATTGCGCATGTCCTACTCGCATCCATTGCCACAGTCAACAGCAGCGGCTGGAAATTGGAATGCGGCATGTTACTGCAACATCAGCAGCAGGAGGCGGCAGCAGCAGCACGCGTAGCAGCATATTTGATATTTGTTTGTGCGTACCGAGCTGCTTGGCCAGAAGGTCAAGCTCTGCTGGTTATTCTCGGTGGCCGAAAAATCAATTCAGTTCTGGTAAAAAGGAAAAAAATGTAACAAGCGTTGTCTTTTTCGTAAATAAGCAAAACGTTTACATTTTCGCCACACAAAATCAATACAGCAACGTTTAGTTTTATTTTTTTTTGGCAATAGACAAAGCCATAGCATATAAAGCCAAGTAAGTAGGCTTTTGCGTAACCAAGCAAAACACGTAAATAGTTTGGTTTCTTTTTATTTTGATGAAAGATATAAACAAAAATTTCAAATAATATTAAAGTAAGTTTCAGTATTTAGGAAAAACATAACACACACATTCGAATGCTAAAATGTCGTCGCCGTCATCGTCGTCACTAACAAAAACAACACAACAACAAACATATGGCCTGACAGCGAATGATATTGCTACTGAATATCGCCCCTATAGAGGATCGGCTGGCATGGCAAACGAACGACAACAGCAGGAGAACCAAGGGATACTGGAACGTGAAGATACTTTAGAATACTTCATCAAGTTTCCCAAACCGACGGCCGATAATGATTTCGTGCTGGTTAGCGGCAACGATGAGCAGAATAATGTACCTATCGTCATGCTGTTGGGCTGGGCTGGCTGTCAGGATCGTTATCTAATGAAATACTCCAAGATCTATGAGGAGAGGGGGTGAGTAGCTGCCAATGAGTAGATTCACCAATAATGGTTATGACCTATTTACTCTTTATCTTCTGACAGACTCATCACTGTCCGATATACTGCACCGGTGGACACCTTGTTTTGGAAGCGCAGTGAAATGATACCGATTGGCGAAAAGATTCTGAAGCTTATACAGGATATGAATTTTGATGCGCACCCATTGATATTTCATATCTTTTCGAACGGCGGCGCATATCTCTATCAACACATCAATTTGGCCGTTCGCAAGCACAAATCGCCATTGCAGGTGCGCGGAGTCATCTTTGATTCGGCGCCAGGGGAAAGACGCATGCTCGGTTTATATCGTGCCATTACCGCTATTTATGGCAAAGAGAAGCGCTGCAATTGCATCACAGCCTTGGCCATAACATTGACCCTAAGCATTATGTGGTTTGTTGAGGTAAGTTAATTAGTTTGCGGCCACACCCGCCCATTTCCATAATATCTAATGCTCGATGAAATTGCAGGAGACTTTTGTGGCTTTTAAGAGTTTGTTTGTGAAGTCGACACCGGTGCACGCGAGTCCTTTCAGTGAGCTAAAGAACGAGACAAACAAATATCCACAATTGTTTCTGTATTCGAAAAGTGATGTTGTCATACCATATCGAGATGTTGAAAAATTTATAAGAATGCGACGCGATCAAGGTATCGATGTGTCGTCTTTTTGCTTTGAGGATGCCGAACATGTCAAAATCTTTACCAAGTATCCAGCACAATATGTGCAATGTGTGTGCCGTTTTATTAGGAATTGTATGGCTAATTCTCTAACGTCCTATCAGTTAACTGGCGATGTCATCGATGCACAAACCATGGAACAGCAGCAACACCAACAGCAACAACAGCAATCAAATTTGAAATACGATTAAAAAAACAGTTTAATTTCGGTTTGAAAATGCTAAGAGCGCGCGCAGACGAAAACAACGCATCAAACACGTATGTGATAGGCAGCACAACTATTATAAAACTTACTTACTGTTTGCAAACAATACTCAATTGGAAATAATTGCAAAAATTTTAAACGTAACTATTGAAAAACACAAAAAAAACACAAGAAAAACAAATTTAATGCAGTTGACCGCTTGGCGCCCGCTGCCGCTTTAATGTAGAAACGAATTTAAGAGTTACTCGAATCTAAAAAGCGTGTGCATTCTTATATTTTTCCCCTCCCTCCTTGGCAAAGTGCACAAAACGAGCGCAAATAAAGTAATTTATCATAAATTTTAATAATGCACGAGTTTAAATTTTAAATTGCATATTTTTCGAATGACAGCTGACTGCTACATAACTAGCCAGGGTGATGTGCAATTATCGAAATGTTGTGGCGCAATCGTTTATATTCGATAAGTTTTGGCGAGTCGCCATCTTGGAATGTGCGAAGAAGAAGAAGCGAACAAAAAGCAAGCGAAAAATCTTTAAGCGTATTTATTTAAATGTATAAATTGCATAAATCTATATATTTAAGACCAAGCACACATATTTATTGCTCCACTCATCAATATAAAAGAAACCCCAGCACAGCTGCCACGTTGCGTTTGCCCAAAAAGGCTTAGCCAAAAAAAATCGAAATCTCCGACGGCCCGAAGGTATCACACACATACAAACGCACGCACACTCACATATACACAGTCCACCACACATTAGTGCAAGCAAAAAGAGGCAGAAGAAGCAAAGGCAGGCAGAGAGTGTTTTTCCATACATTTCGGTGAAGCTACTGGGATCTAAGGTAAATAAAACTACGGCAGCAGTAAACGTACGCTTAGGTGTGTACCCAAATAATGGATTTGATTCTGCCGCCGCCACCGCCACAAATGCCGCGGCACACGTCGAAACAACGGTGCACGCGCTGGTGTGTGTTTGTGTGTGTGTGTGCGTGCGCAATTAATGCATATTTAACATTGATCCATTTATGTTGCAGACGCCGTTGCCGACTTCTGGTCAGGCACAAACAGCACACAGCAGCAGTGATTGTGTTGCGGGCAGGTGATATAACTAAACAATCGCGACAGCTTGCAGCGGACTATGTCTGACTATTTGCGCCAGCAGAAACCACTAGAGCACACATAGCCATGGCTGCGACGAGAAAATTGCAAGGTAAGCAGAATTCTCCATACATACATATATATATGTATGTATTTATTTTATATGATGTGTGTTTAAATACTGATACTGTGAACATTATCGATATATCCCGATAGGCGAAATTGATCGATGTTTAAAAAAGGTAGGCGAGGGCGTGGAAACGTTTGAGGATATATGGAAAAAGGTACACAATGCTACAAATACCAACCAGAAGGTGAGCGCAAAACACCATCTAAATTTGATATCTCCTTTCAATATATACTTATATACAAATTTCTTATTTACAGCAAAAGCATCTCCAGGAAAAGTATGAGGCAGACCTTAAAAAGGAAATTAAGAAGCTTCAGCGATTACGAGATCAAATCAAATCATGGATCGCATCCGCCGAGATTAAAGATAAAAGTGCGCTGCTCGAGAATCGAAGGCTCATTGAAACGGCAAGTTGTTTAAACTTAGAATTAAAACACAAATATGTCGCCTCTATCAATCTCAAGCACAAAGCAAACAACAGATCGCTTTTAGTCCTATGTCTGTTTTGATCCATACATATCTAAATTTACCTGTGATACCAATTCCAAAAAGACAATATATAATTGATTTTGAAGAATGTTTCGGATACTTGATAAACAATCACAATTCATCGCGGCGATATTAGAAACCAATTGCCCTTTATTAATGTTATTAATTTTCATATACCTACAGCAAATGGAACGCTTCAAGGTGGTGGAGCGGGAGACAAAAACAAAAGCGTATTCCAAGGAAGGCTTGGGCGCCGCACAAAAAATGGATCCAGCGCAACGGATCAAGGATCATGCGCGCAATTGGCTAACCGGTTCAATTAGTACATTGCAAATTCAAATCGATCAGTATGAGAGCGAAATTGAATCGCTGTTAGCGGGTAAAAAGAAACGTCTGGATCGCGACAAACAAGAGCGCATGGATGATTTACGGAGTAAGCTGGATCGTCATAAATTCCATATAACTAAACTGGAAACGTTGCTGCGACTTCTGGACAACGATGGTGTCGAAGCGGATCAAGTGAACAAAATCAAAGATGATGTCGAATACTATATCGATTCATCGCAGGAGCCAGATTTTGAAGAGAACGAGTTCATCTATGATGATATTATCGGTCTGGATGAAGTCGAGCTTAGCGGCACGGCCACAACAGATAGCAACAATAGCAACGAAACTAGCGGCTCGCCCAGCAGCGTTACATCCGGCGGCAGTCCATCGCAATCGCCAGTTACTGTGCAGCAGGTGTTGCCATCCTCCTCCACACAGCAGCAGACAGCGACGGCGGGCAGCAGCAGCGCTGGCAGTGGTACTAGCGCCGCCAGTGCAGCCCAATTCCAGCATTTGCAGGCAGCGGCAGCAGCTGCGGCGGCAGCAGCATCCGCCGCACAGCAATCGAATGGTAACAATGTGGGCTATGCGAGCGACACCAGCGCAGCTTCATCCTCAGCGACAACGTCCACCGAGGCGACAACAGGTGGCGAGAAGCGCAACAAAAGTAGCGAAAGCAATGCGAATAGCAGCAAAGCCAAGGTAAGTGTTTGCACTAAATAAACTAACTAATAATAGTTCTATTTGGGGTGCCGTTGAATTATTAACCTTGCAAACATATTATATATTTGCCTAAATATATTATTTATACTCAGAACGCATTCGCACAACAATTTAACAAATTAATATTCAACCAATTGTGCACAGTAGCCCGATTTAATGTGCACAAGATGTCATAAACCAGAGCATTTATGACTGGTTCTTGTTATAGAGCGATATAATATTTAGTAATTCAATTTGTTGACAGAAAGAAGCTTCTGAGAGCGAGGAATTTATTGAATTCACTTTTATATATATTCTTTTGATCTAGTTAAGCATTTGAACTTATGAAGACCATGTAGATACAAAATAAAATGTAACCACCTTTATATAGATATATGTTTAGGTATATTGTCGATAAGTCACATGACAACAGTTCTGTTAACAGATACAAATAATTAACCGCCTTTAATGGCATTCAGACATTTAGGCAGTTTGTCTTACACATTAAGTGAACTGATATTTAATGAAATATTTTCCCTTTTGCAGCAGCAACCTCAGCAGCCGATCAAGCCGACGCCAGTGCGTGCCACAGTTAAAGCGCCCGCGGGTAGTGATAGTAAGTAGATAAACTACAAATTGATTGGATGGTTAACTGAAGGATTATTTAAATTCTATTAGCAGCTCAAGTCAATAAGATTATTAGCTCAACGCCCAGCAAAAACCAGCAGCAACTACCCACGGTCGCTTCCGTTTTGGCGTCTAGCGGGACACAGAACAACAACAACAATAATAATAACAGCAGCAGTAGCAGCAGCAACATTGTCGCTGCCAGTGGTCACAATCCTGCCGTGCAGCCACATGCCCCAACGCCTGGTCTGAGTGCAGCCAACATAGCTGTTTCCGCTGGCCCAGCAGCAGCAACAGCAGCGGCAGCAGCTGCAGCCGTGGTTGCAGCATCAGCGAGCAACAGCAGCAATAACATTCAAGGCCAATCTGTGATTCAAGCGACACCAACAATTGCATTTGCAGCGGTGGCTAAACACAACACATGTACGTCCCACTCATTAGCTAACTATAATGAAAGATATCCAGATTTATTAAAGTTATTGTAATTTATAATAATAGCACTACTGGAAAACGGACCTGTCTCGCAACAGCAGGCAACGGCGCCCACGGTGGCGGCCATTGTAAGCGCCAATGCACAGGCCCAGCAACAACAACAACAGCAGCAACAACAACAGGCGGCGCAATTATCCAATCTTCAAACGAATTCCTCACACATGCAAAACGGTAATACACTTGTGAAAATGGCTAAGCTCTATAGTGATTTATTTATAGTCTTTCTAAAAATGTTTGAAAATTATTGTAGTCATTGTAAATGGACTGATCTAGCCATATAAGTCTGTCGATACTAGGAACGCAAACGATAGCCACAGCCACCTTAACATTAACTACCCTATATAATATATCTATAACTAACATATACGGGGCTTAACGATAAACACAGATGTTATTTGAGAATCAATTTACAAAAGTATTAAGTAATTAGGTTTTAGTGATTGTGACCATTCGGAGCTGGGTACGGAGTTTCACCCAGTCGCAAGCTTTCAACACTTTAGTAATACTGTTGCACAGGGTATTTTAAGTATGTCAACATTTAATCAAATTGTGCATTGATCACTATATCAAACGTATAGCAAATACTTTTGTAACTTAAGATAGTCCAATAATTACATATTTTCAAAAGAATTCAGTTGTATCTAATAGACAATCTCTGCATATGAATATATACATATATATATATATATATATACATATATATATATATATATATACATATATATATATATATATATATAATATACCCTAACTACTGCTAAGAGTATTCAAACTTCGAAGTCTTGCAGTTATAAATTCTGTTTTGTTTATTTTAATAATTGTAATTAATATATAATGCTTATTGCTCTTTGCTTCGATTATTTTACAGGCCTGCCCGTCTCACTCAGTAGTAGCAGCAGCGGCAGCAGCAACAGCAGCAGCAATAACAACAGTAATGCTGTCGATGCGATTTCATTGAAAACCATGGCACAGGAAGCCATTAATCGATCTGTGATCGAGCCCAATTCCCTAAATCAGCAGCAAGCAAGTAATATAGATACGAGACAGCAGCAACAACAAGTGGCGCAGCAGCAAGCAGCGCTGCAAACACTGCTACAACAGCATTTCAGCACCGAAACAACTGCCAACCAACAGCAACAACAACAGCAGCAACAACAACAGCAGCAGCAGCAGCAACAGCTCCAGCAACAACAAGCTGCAACAGCGGCAGCAGCAGCGCAACAACAGCAGCAACAAAATGCAGCAGCGGCAGCAGCAGCAGTTGCAGCAATTGGTACAATCGTAGCTGCTGCTAGCAATGGTCCCACAGCTGGCAGTGGACTCATGAATCTGGCGAATGCTGCTGGTCAGCCCACAGCCGTCAGCGGTGGTGTTGTGGTCCCACCCAATGCAAAGACGCATACATCGCAACAGCAGCAACAACAGCAGCAGCAACAACAACAACAGCAACAACAACAGCAGCAACAACAACAGCAGCAGCAGCAGCAAATGGCCACAACAGAGGCGCACATACCACCGCTGTTAGGGGTCACGCCGCTGGGTCCAACGCCACTTCAAAAGGAGCATCAGTTGCAGTTCCAAATGATGGAAGCCGCATATCATCACCTGCCACAGCCCATTGATACTGAGAAGCTGCAAACATATTTTCATCGCTCACCGGTGCAAACACCAGCGCACTATCCACAGGTGAGTCAGGTACATTGATTCAATTGTCATCCTACATGGCTGTAATAAATGCTATTTTATGCATCACAGGCCCAGCTGCCTATTTACGATACCGTTGAATTCTATCAACGGCTCTCGACGGAGACGCTCTTCTTTGTATTCTACTATATGGAGGGCTCTAAGGCGCAATATCTCGCAGCAAAGGCGCTCAAAAAGCAAAGCTGGCGCTTCCACACCAAATACATGATGTGGTTTCAACGGCACGAGGAGCCTAAGATTATCAACGATGATTACGAGCAGGTGAGTTCCATAATGTCAACAAATAATTCAATTTTATCTAAGCTTGAGTGCAAACTAAGGTGGATTACAATGTTTATATATGTATATATTCCTTATAAGAGCGAATTGATCCTTTAAATACATTGCACTTGCGCAATAATTTAACTGTTAGAAGTCAACTTAAAAATATGGGAACATTCCTATAAAACGGTAGAAAGATGTGTATTATATGAGTTGTGGATTATATTTAAGCATTTAACTAATTTAATAGGGATGATTTATATATTATTATATGCCATCAAAAACCAATTTTATCTGCTGAACAGGTTCTAGCCTTGCCGTAATTCTATATCTAAATTCGATTTCGAATCGAGCAGTCTGAAAACTATTTTTAAGGAGCGTTGAACTCTTTGCTTCCAGAGACGCTTTCAATCTACCAAATTTGATATGTTGCAATTAGTTATGCATACAATTAATTAATAAAAATAATTGAAATTCTATACATATAATAAACTCGTATTTTATGATAATTTGATTTGCTTTCAGGGTACGTACATCTACTTCGATTATGAGAAATGGAGTCAGCGCAAAAAGGAGGGCTTCACCTTTGAATACAAGTACTTAGAAGACAAGGAGCTGAATTGAATTGCTGCGTTGTTGTGATGCGGATGCGTCGGCTGTCTACGAGGAAATCAATCCATAACTACAATAATGAATCAATAGCATACAATAATCATACCGTACCACATCAGAAAAATACACTCTCACTCTCACTCAAACTCATCGAATAGAATCAGAACACACACACACTTACACACACGCCCACACATACACACACACTCAACAATAAATCCATAAACTAATGAAGAGATCATGTGTAAGAGAAGCGATACAGCAAGCAAGCCGTAAGCATAAGTGAAAAGGAAGAGAGAAACGGAAAACAAAAGAAAAGAAAACAAAAAACAATGAAGTATGTTACTGATACTTGTTCGGAAAACGCATGTAAAAACATATGCTTTTTTATATAAATGTTTTATTGTTTATTATTTTTTTTTAAGAATTACTTTCCTACACAAAACAAAAAATGATAAAAAAAAAGAAAAAAGAAAAAGAAAAGAAACTAAAACTATAAAAAAGTTATGCAAAATACGTGCAACAATTTCAATTTTCTGGCAGTTGTTCCTCGCCCCGCCTAAGTCCACGTCCACGCCCACGCAGCCGCTCCCGTCACGCCACGCCCCCAAACTTCCTAATAGTATACCGCTTAGCGTTCTCATGCATTCATTAAACCCTTCCAACTCGAGCTCCTCTGTCTCACCCCGCCTCCCCCTCCTCATCCATCGCACTTGCATCATGTATAAAGAGCGCAGCAGTGTGCAGTAAATACTTTTAATTATAAACAAATTAGCGCACCGAATTTTTTCAATGCGTTTGCGTAGAAACGTAAAAGAATAAAAGAAAAAACTCGTGAGAATAAAAGTAAACACTAATAAAACTTCAGCTGATCTTATTTAAATTTAATAATGTAATTACGATTACTAAGATCATTGATTAAGTTGAGCATGATAATGAATGCCGCAAGGCAAACAAACAAACAAACAACAAATTAATGCGTAAAATTACCTTTTTTTAAATGTAAGCAAAATAAAAACAAAACGTGAGTAAATAGTTGAAACATGTTTAGTGTTCATTTTGTTTTATTTCATTAAAAACTATTTGCGTTATTTTACTTTTCTTTTCCATTTAGCCTATTTAAATCCTCTGATCGGTTGAGCCTCAATTTTGATCGTAAAACAAAAAAATGAAAGAAAATGTTAATAAGTCATATATAGTCAAATGGTATAAACAAATGCATTTTAGAATGTTTTTGCGTAAATATAGCATTTTTGCTAAACAAAAAACAAATAAAAAAGAACGAAATACATATTTAACAATTTTACAAGAATAGTTTTAAAAGAAAACAAAACACAAATGCATGCAAAAAAAATACATTTTAAAAATTATTAAAAAAAAAAACAAAAAAATGCATTAAAATATACATACAATTATACGCCGCCCATTGCGTACTGGATTTTATTAAAAATACAATTATATGGATATTTCTGGTTTATATTTAAATACTTATGGAAAATACCGTTTTATATACTCTACCCATGTTGTCTTCTTCCAAACGCCCAAAAGTATGTATGTCTGTTATCGCTTCTATAGCTAACTAATAATATTTAGGCTTCGGCTTTTAACAGCTACTTCACTTCCGTATGCTGCTAAATAAACTGAGTATCAACACCCCAAGGCCTTAATGCCTGATTATAGCATTATTGGTTCTCTTATACAGAAGGCAGCATTATTATGTGTGCGCTGTATGCCTCTTATTTCCTGCTTATATTATTACTTCGCTGTGTTTCGTTTAAGTACATTTTTATATGCTCTCCACTGAGCAAGCTGTTCTCCTTGGTATGTATGTATGCATACTTGAGTATAAGTACAAATGTGTTCATCTGCATATGTATGTATATGTGTGCAGTGGTTATTGATGACTTGAAGATTTGTATTGTATTTTATTTTGGATTAAATAGCTTGTACTTAAAGCTAAAATATTACAAAATACATATATTTATAATCTATTTATCAATTGGTATTTCGTATTAAAATTGTGCTTGTAATTTTTGCATTTCGTTTTGTATTTAATGCTTTGTCATCAATTGTATTGAGAAGTTGTTGTTGGTAAGTTGTTCAAACATACTCACGTGTAACAGTAATCTGTCTTCGTCTTACGCCTCACTTCCTTGATTCCGTTGGTCGATTTGTTATTGCTGATTTTTGTTATTCACTCTTTATATGTATGTGATCTGTATGAACGTTTTAATACCGTTTACTCGCGTCGTGCAAGCAGAAAAGAGAGGGTATGCAGACAGTCCACCTAGCAAACATAACTAAATATCATAGTGATGCCCGAATAAACTAGTTTGCTTACTTTGCTAAGATCGATAATTTAAAAGCTAATATCATTTCAATTACAAAATACAATCAAAAAATGTTATTTTAAGACACACTTAGATATATTTACTGGTCTTTCGTCTATTTACCTAAACATTTTCTCTAACACATGCACAGAAATCTGGTCTTATATGTAACCAATCTTATCTATTGGACAATTTGTAGTACAATTTTTAATATACAAAAGCTGTTATTGTATTCCAATCGGCATTCTATGTCCTGCCTTAATTACGTAGATCATTTGAGCTCAATCAATTCTTCACCACTTTGTAGGAATTGGCGTGGAGCAATTCCTCCAGTACATGCCCTTGCGGTTGAAGGCTTCGCTGTGTGCGCCATTTAGGTACAATCCAAAGAGATTGCTAGCATTAGAGAAAAGTGAAATGTTAATAGAAAAAATACTAATTAATATTAATATTGTAGTCCTACCAAAAGGAACAGTCCCTGTACCACCAGCCACCCATCTGATGCATGGCACAATTATCCGTGGAATAGTCATTGTCCGAATCGTAGGTTGTGAACTTCATGCACACATTGTAGTAGAGGGAATCTCCTGCAGTTCCCGAATATTGATCAATGCTGCGCAACGGATACTGCTCTTCCAATTAGAAATTGATCGTAAGCTGCATATCGCGTGTTTCCCTCGAAGTACTCAAGCTCAATTTTCACCTCATGATTTTCAGATGCGGTTATTTCATATAGCTTCTGCAAGCCAACGAAGAACTCGCCATTCGAGTCCTGGAAACCATCTTTGTATTCGGCCCAGTTACGGAAGAAGCTAAAGTTGCCTTCGAATCTGTGTGCCACCAGTGTCCAGCCGTCGTCCTCGGACTTCAGCACGCCGCCAACGCAGCAGCTGATGAAGCAGTCATAAGAAAGGAAAACGAAGGCTTTCATGTTTCTATTGGAGCGATAACTTTTAGAATGGAACTAACGAAGTAGTTTGGAGGCGGGTTTCTATCGCTTCAAGATCTAGTGACACGTATAGTTCGAAGCTATTAAGCACTGATAATGCATTAAAATTTATTGTATAATCCTTATCGCCTATTAAAGTTTCATTTAGCATTATCAAAACCCTGATAATCTGTTTCTGGGAATGACGAATACCTGATGTCTCTTAGCTTGCCTCTTGCAAGATGGATTTCAATAGTTGCTCTAAGTAATCCCACCAAAGTTGCCTTTAAATGTTTAGGAAAGTATTGCATATATAAGTTGTAAATATATATATCCCTGCACGAGTCTAGAGCGAATATTTTCAATTGAAATATAAAATAAAATAAATTAAAATGTTTTGTTGTGATCAAGAATATATTTTATAATTCTGCAATGCTTTCTATAATGTTTTACAACTTTAATGATAATAAGCCATCCAGAAAGGAATAATCCAAAATTATTTTTATAAAATAATTGACAAAGATTCTAATAGAAATGCATAAAATATATCTTTTTATATATATATACATATATTATACGCTCTGCGCCTGCGTATTGGAATTTATTGCATACAATATGTACAAAAGCTGTACTTGAAAGTAAATATCGAAGCTAAGGAAAAAGAAACTATACAATTTTAACTCTGGTAAAGCAAAGGATAACCAATGCCAATGACAATGGCAATGACAATGACAATGATAATGATAATTAAACTAAAATGGAACAAGAAATACGGCGGCAGATATGGACTTATAATCGATAGATTACTGACGGCTTAACGTAACTACTAGACACTGGTGGCCTCTGCATTGTTGCCCCAGACGACATCATCCTCATCGTCATCGTGGCCCCAGCCCTGATCGGCCTCGGCATCGGTTTCATGGCCACTTGAGCTCGTTGCTGCGGCCGCAAAGCGACTTGCATCGATTTGCACAATTTCTGGTTCGCTGATTGCGACCTTCGTCTCAATAACCGGCTCCATGTCTTTGAAGAAGTCAAACTCAGCCGGCTCAGAGGCATTGGCTGGCGTTGTCAATTGCACTTGAATGTCCAGCGCGCTGAGATCATCAATGAGCATGCGATTGATCGGTGGAACGGAGCTCTTCATTGCGACTGTGGATAGACTGGAGCAGGCGGTGCGGAATGAGTCGGTGAGCGAGGGTTGTGTGGTCTGTGTTGAGGTGCTGCTGTTGGTTTCCAAATTGTTCAGATTTAGCTCATCCAAAGTCTCCTGTTTAACATGCAGACGCTGCAGCTCATCCGTATTCTCCCAATCGGACCACGCCTCCTCCTCGTCATTGACCAATGTCTGTTCGTGCGCTGCACTGCTGGTGGAGCTGTTTGCATTGTCAGTGTTGCTATCGGTACTACTGCTATGACTGAGCTCCAATGGCTTCTCGCCCATATTCGTGATGCTCTTCTCGTCCTCGCCGCCATCAGGACTCAAACGCAAAGGCATCGGGGCCACATTGGTCTCCACTGGCAACGGACTGCCAGAGACCATGTAGTCAACGGCATCCACAGCGCTGCCATTCATAAGCGGCGTTATCGAGCGAGGCTCTGTCCAAGGTGTGCTGCTGTCCGTGGAGACAGCAGCATGTGGTCGACCATCCGAAAAGCAACGTCTACGATCACCACCCAACACAGTGGCTGCGCCCAAAATGGGCACCAAATCGGCGAGAGAACGCAATGTCTTGGCCACCAGCACATCGTTGGTATCGTTCATGCCCAGCTGCAGGTGCGGCAAGATTTCGCTCGTCAATTGCTCATCGCTCAGCAGACGCACATACTCCATGAAGTAGTCCAGCAAAATGAGCCGTATCTGTGCATCCCGCAGTCGAAACATTTTCAGTATGTGCGGCAGCAGATAATGCAAATATGTTTGTGGCGAAAAGAGAGCTGCGGTCCCATTCTCTGTCTTTGTACGCAGCACGTAGGGCGTGACGCAGTGCTGAGCGGTGGGATCCAGCAGTACCATGCGTGACAGCAAATCGCTGGCCAGCTGGGAGGCAACAACTTGTTCATCAAAGCACCGCAGACGCTCGATTAGATTGCTAAAGAATTGCTGACGCTCCTGCACGGACTTCAAAGGCAGCTCAAAGAGAAACGAGTGGATTAACACGAATTCATGATTGAAATATGGATGCAAGAGCACTGCCGACAGCTTGGGCCGCAGCTCAATGTTCAGGTGCTTCAGGTGTGTGCTGCAATAGTCGCGAAATTCTTGTACATACGGCGTGCTCGCCTTGCCTCCGCTGGCTCCACACTTGTCCAGTACTTGCTCGCAGAGGGTGGCAAAGGCAAACTGCTCCAGACCCAGTTCACTGTTGGCCGAGTCTCTGGCCAACGGCTGGCGAAAGCTGTGCGCCAAGTCTATTAGCTGTTTATTCAAGTCCTTCGCCTTCCACACAAACTCAAAACCGGCCAAGCGCCAGCTGCCTTTGTCCGTCACATAAATGGATTGTGTGCAAATATTAAGATGTCGTGCCATCGCCTTTTCAATAAGAAATATCAGACTGCACAGTATGGTGCGCAGACCAAGGCACACCTGTATGTCACTCTGCTGGGCCAGAACATCGTTCAGTGGCCTCACTCGTTCTGTGGCCAAATGTTTTTGTCCGGACTCATCCCATGTTGACATATATTTCAATATGTACGGATGGCGATAGATCATCAGATTCTATAGTGCACACATTAAATTCATTGAATATAATTGTATTTACAGTTTCGTACTTGTGGCATTTACCTTTATGGCCCGTTCCATAGGCCCTTGGGCCGCCCATAGCTGGCCCTTGACAAGAATTTCACCTTTGAATATGGACAGCTCCTGACCGCCGCCTCCTTCTTCGTTGCATGTTGTTGGCGACTCGGCATTGTAGAGTGCCCAAAAGTCATTTACTTCGATTGCGTTTTTATCAATAATCAGCCCTTTTAGTTTGCTGCCTTCATTGCCCATTTTTTATAAACATTAACAAATAACATTTATGTTAGGTCAACGTCTTGCACAACGTAACTCTAACATTTTCGTAACGCAAACACTGTTAACCGAACTGTTAGCGCATATGTTAAGCTAGCAGTGTTGTGACACACTGATTCTAAGTATTTTGCAGCACTGGATACTATGTACTAAGTCGGAGGTGAAAAGTTTTTGTTTCTATTGTTTTTAAATAAAACAAAAAAGTGTAAATGCAAAATGGACTTGTACGACGACATAGACGCAAAGCCGCGCGCTAGCCAAATGGATGGATGGTCTTCGGGTATCAAAATGTTGCAAACACAGTTGGCAGTAAAGAAAGCCCAACTGCCAAAATCCAATGCGAGGGATCCAATTAAGAAACCGGTGGGTTCAATTGTTTACACTACTGAAACTTGCAATAATATAATTTATAATTTATAATTTCCTTGCATAGCTTATGACACCTGTGGTGAATTTGCGCACTAAGCGCAATGCTGACGCGGAGAGTTTTGTGCCCGTGACTGTGGCTGCCAAGCCAATTATTACCAGCACCACAGTGGCGCCAGCTCCGGCGCTGGAGAGCATAAAAACAGATGATTGGGATTTTGTGGACGAATATGATCCGCAATGGCCCAACGAATATGAGAAACTTAAAGATAAATCCAAAAACAATGACAAAGCGCGCAACAGTAACAGCAGCACCAATCGAGGTGAGGACCGCGATCGAGACAGAGACCGAGAACGTGATCGCAAACGGAATCGTGGTGGTGGACGCCGAGACACTCATAATCATGATAACTCCCCGCCAAGCATGAAATTCAGTGGATTTAGCCAAAGACAAAGTGACGAGGACCGTTACAGTCCGCCAGCGCCGGGTTCTGTATCCAAACAAGGTGGTGGCGCAGCCATTGCGCCACCACCATCTCTTTCCATTGACAATGGAGATGGCTCTTCAAATGTAACTATACCATATACCGCCAGCTCGGTAGCGGCTAAGATAATGGCCAAATATGGCTTTAAGGATGGCCAAGGCTTGGGCAAATCAGAGCAGGGCATGTCCGTGGCGCTGCAAGTGGAGAAAACGTCTAAGCGCGGCGGTCGTATCATACACGAAAAAGACGTTTTTCTACCACCACCCCCATCAACATCACCACCTCTCTCTCAGCTGCCTGCTGTGGCCGCATCGCCTTCAGTCTCGAGTCCAGGTCCTGTTGCTGCTCCAGCTGGCTCGATGCCACCGCCACCATTGCCAGGCAGTGCTCCGACAGCTGCACCCCCAGCGGCCAGTGAGCCAGAGCCTAGCATAACCGAAATCATGAAGGCACCCAGTAAAGTGGTGCTTCTTCGCAACATGGTCGGACCAGGCGATGTAGATGAGGAACTCGAGCCCGAAGTCAAAGATGAATGCAACACGAAGTATGGTGAAGTGAACAGTGTTATCATACATGAAGCCTTTGGTACGGTGCCGGAGGATGCGGTCAAAATATTTGTGGAGTTTAAACGTATTGAGAGCGCCATTAAAGGTTAGTTTTCAATTTAACAAATCTCGTTTGAAATAATAATCTAATAACATATTCCCATACATTACAGCTGTTGTAGATTTAAATGGACGATTTTTTGGTGGACGTCAAGTGCGTGCTGGATTTTATAACTTTGATAAATTTAAAAGTTTTCAATTAAATTAAGTCAATAAAAATAGTTTGGTATAAAGTTTATTTGTAGTTTAAGCAAAGCGCCCTCTATTTGTTTTTGTTGTATTTATTCCGCACACGAGATTTAGTTGGCAGAGTTGCGAGAGTTTGTAATCGATAATTGCCGCTGACTATGACAACTCTACTAAATATAATCAGACATACACGCTACGACAAGTTAGTTGTCCAATGGGCGTAATATAAATATGTTTCTTATTAAATTACGTTTTCAATTTGCTGGCTAAGCGATCTTTAACATTTTTGGCCAAGCAACCCTCTTTCACTGCAAAGCCTAAGCCAGCACAATCAAAGCAGGCGTGTGATAATATTGTGACAACTCACAATAGCTGGTTGTATCGTGTCTAGTACACATAGCTAGTGCAGAGGTTTGGTTTGAGAACTGAAAACAATTATCGCAAATATTATTCGCTTTCGCTGTGTTGCAAAATTGATTAACAAAAACAACTTAAAAACCAAGGTGAGTTTACGACGCTCCTTCGCGTATTCTAACGAGTTAATTGATAGTGTGTGCGTGTTAATATATAAAACAACAAGCGCAAAAATTATAAGTATTGTGTTTTGCTGTTTTTTTTCTCTTGCGCGAATACATAAGCCAAAGCAAACGAACAGATAGCAGTGCAGAACGGTAAATTCTCCAAATGTCAACGACACAGGCACTTGTAATTAAATTCAATTAAGCTGCAGCTCATACTTAATTTGTGTATCAATTTTCATAAGTGAAAAAGAGAAGAACGACAGAAAAAAACAATACGAGACGCAGACCACACTCGCCCCCCTCACCTTTAAGTCCACGTTGAACTCGTGCCCAGCCACTGCCTGCAGCTGTAATAGTAGTCGTGAGTGTTGTTGTTGGTATAGCTGTAATAACTGCAACACACACACACAAACAAACAAAAACAGGCAGACAAACGACGGCTGATCACATTTGTTGTGCTCTATGTGCTTTATGCCAATCAACAACAAAAGTTTTGCATTGTTCGCAGCTTTCCCCACTCCCACCGACGCCCAACAGCGGCAGCAGCAGCAGCAGCGGCCGTAACAACAACAACATCAGCAGCAACTGTAGTTGCTATATCCATCCAAGCAGTTGTTCAGTTGTTGGGGCCATGGGCCCGCTATCGCCGTTTTGTATTTGTGCTGCAAGGTAAGGGGCAACTCTACCCAATTGAGGGTTTTGGCTACTACCACTGTTGTTCTAACTCTCTCTCCTCTCTCCTTTCTCTGTTCCACACACAAACGCACACACACACAGTTTATTGCACTATTATTCAATGTATTGCACGCACATAAATACAAAATTATTTATGTATAAATATTTCTGCTGCTCAGTTCTGCTTCTCCTTCTACTCGTTCCAAAGTGGAGCAGACGCGCCCCGATCATATGCATATACGAACATACATACATATGTATGTAAATACAAACAAACCGTTTTTTCGGCGGACCTCCCTCTCTCCCACTCACTCACACACACACACGCACACATGTATATGCGAGTACTCGCATTTGTTGCTGCCCGCTTCTTCAATTATATTTTTGAAAATGATCTATTTTTATACGAAACATTATTTTGCGCCTGGTACTCTAAAGTATTTTCTCTTTCTTACTGTATATACAGCACATATTGAAAAAGTGAGGAACCAACAAAATGTGTGTGTATTGCCAGCCCTTAATAAATCCTGCATAGTAAACAAATGTGGGCTTATTTGTTAGTGAAAAATATTTAGAAAGCTGTGAACTTTAACTGAAATTAAGTTTGAAAATGTTCCAACTTGGACTGAAACAGCTTTGATACAAAAACAGCTGTATATGTTTACTGGTTCATGGAACCAGTTTTATTTAAATTAATTAGATAAAAAACATTTGTTAATTTATAAAGAAAATGCAGATATATAAAACTAACTAATGTATAATTTTGGCATTAGGATTATATTTATAATCAATTAAATATATGTTTAGTTCATTTAGCTTATGCTTAGTTCATGGAACTAGTTTAATTAGAGTAACTTTAAAGATCCATTGATTATGTGACAGATTAGAGTATTGGATTACTGCCAGAGTACAACAATGTCAAGAATGTATTTTGAAATTTAATATATTTCCTTTGAAATGCATTAAACATTTCCAGTTCTTATAAATAGCTGCTGCACACATTCGGTAATCTGAGATTCCATAAGTTTTAAATTAGCTAAAGAGATTAAATGAAAACAAATTGTTTGCAATTTTGATACACACAGAATCGCTTTAATTTCAAATATGTTTCTAATGTATTTTTAATACTTTTACTAACTAGCTTTGTGCAAATATATTGATCGGATGTGCCTTGATTTGAAATTCATGAACTGACAGTCAACATTCCGGTCGGTCTGTTTAGTGCACAGAAATTTTGTAACACTCAATCAAATTCAACCTCTCCAGCTAAATACATTTTATCAGATATACATTTTACTGTATGACTGTCTGTGCGCATTTCACACTTTTCAGTTATGGTCTTGGTCAGTAACGAATGGCAGAGTAATAAGGATGACGAGCAAAAGCCCAGTGCGGCAGCAGCAGCAGCAGCAGCGACAGCTTTACCAACAATCTCAACAGCAGTTGCATCAGCAGCACAATCGGCCGTAAATAGCGGTATTGCCAACGTTATTACCACAAGCTCTACCACAATTGACCAAGATATAACTGCTAGAACAGTAGTTGTTGCCGGAGGTGTTGAATTGTCAAAGCGCCAGCAGCGCATCCATAAAAAGTCACACAATATAATGGAAATGAACAAGAAGGCCCAACAGGAGCAGCAGCATCAGCTCCAGCAGCAGCAGCAACAGCAACAGCAACTGTTAATGCGCGAAAAGCACGAGACAGAAACGTGTGAGTTGCCCACAGAGAACAGTAACAGCATCGACAACAGCATTATGTTCATTAATGATGCTAACGACAATATGGAAAATCAGGAAAACAATAATGCGACTGCGGCAGAGACCTGTGATTCCAATACGAACACATTATTGCAGGTGAGTAAGCAATTGCATCCACATCCCAAGGCCGTTTATTGATCGTTCCATATTGCCTTTTCAGGGCCAGCTGGCGCAGAAGCAGGCGCAGCTACATATGGCCATGAATTCGGTGCTAAATGCCAATAATACGACGGGCGGTAATCTATTCAGCTCGATGGGTGCCTTACAATTGCCTAATGAGGCAGCTAATACGCTGCTTTCCAATACGCAGGACATATCGCCCGGTGAGGCCAGAATTGTGCTGCAATGCGAGTTGAAATCGCATAAGTTTGACACGCGTAACATTTTGCTGGCGCCGGGGCAAGAGTGCAAGGTCGGTCGTTTGATTGCCAAGAGCAAGGCGAGCGAAAGCAATGCCATATTTGATTGTAAGGTGTTGTCGCGTAACCATGCCATGCTCTGGTATACAACCGACGGTCGTTTCTGGGTGAAGGATACTAAGTCCAGCAATGGAACCTTCATCAACGACAACAAGCTGGGCAATGAGCCGGCCGAGCTGCATAATGGTGATACCGTCAAGTTTGGCGTTGAGGTGATTGAGAATTCCCGTCAGGAGGTGCACGGCTGCATTATTGCGCGAGTTACATTGTTTTTGCCTGATGGCCGGGAGGCTATTTCAATAGAGTCGGAACAGATGCAGTTGACAGGACCAAACCGGATAAGCTATGATGAAATACAGCGACTAAATGCATTTCTACAGGAGGCCTCGCAGCGCGAGAAGATGCTCAAGGCGAAGCTCAGCAATCTGCAGGGAGTGCTCGATTCGACGCGCAAAAACTCGGCCATGTGCTGGCAAAGCATGATTACCGAGGATCAGCTCTTGCACAAGATCAATCTGCTCGAGAAGAAGTTGCAAATGATGGAAAAGAATGTTCCCGAGAATACATTACGCAACGAGGTGAGTAGTCGATGTTAATGTAGCATACTTCTAAGGGCATTGTAAATTTTTAATCTTGTTGGCAGGTTGTTAAATTGCTTGAGGATAAGACCTCGTATCAGCTAACTGCCAAAGAAGCGCTGCGCAAGGTCTATCAGGATCGATGCGATGCCATGCAAATGCTGTCAAAAATGGAGATGGCCTACACAACATCGGATAATGAGTGCAGCATATTGCGCGGTCAGATATTAAGTTCGAAGCAGACTCTACAGGACTTTAATGAACGATTGGAGCAGTTACAACTGGAGTATATGGAATATAAGCAGGAAACGCTGCGTCAGCAGCAAGAGGCTAAGGAACTGGAGGAGCAACGACTTGTGCAGCATAAGGAGCAGCTAATCGCTCACGAGAGCGAAATGGAACAGATGCGCCAACAACTGATGCAACTGCAGCAAACGATTGCTGATCACGATAGCGAACAGGCGCTGCAGCAGCAGCAGACGCTGGAGCAACTGAATGCGGCCATCGCTGCCGGTGGAGATGATGACGATGATGACGACGACGACGACGATGAGGATGAAGACGATAACGATGACAAGCAGGATAAGAAAGTGGGAGATCATGATAATTGCGCAGATACTAAAGACGAATTTCAGGTTAATGAGGGTGCACAGATTCAAGAGTTGCACGGCAAAGATCAGACTACAATACCCAGCAAACCTAAATCTGTAAGTAAACTTTTTGTTATATTCGAATTACGTAGTGCTAAATGCGAATCGTTTTGCAGAACAAGAAGACCAAACGGCAGCAGAAGGAAGAGTTCAATTTGAAGCACAAGGTGATACGTAAAGGTACCATGATGAAATTGCTCAAGAACTCGGATCTCAAAGGCGCAGATGGCGGCGATGTATTGAAAGCCATATTTAATGCCGCCGACTCTGGTGATGATGATGAGCAGGAATCAAAGCTGGATTCATCTGAGGCATCGCCAATAGGCGGAAACACCTTTGCCGAAGTTGCCTGCGATGAGTTTATACACAAATCACCCAAGCACACACGCCTCAATGGCATTGAAGAAGCGACCGGCGAGTCGCATTTAGTCCACAAGCTGGAGACACAGGAGACGCTCGTACGCAGCAACGATGTAATACACGATGGTGATCTGGCGCATGATCAAGCTGTGGATATGTTGCACGAAGAGTGCATGTTCTATAAGAAAAAATCAGCTAAGCTAACCAACGACATAAGCAATCTGGAGGAGCAGATGAATATTCTTAAGCAGCAGCTACAGCAGCTACCACAAAACGCAGCACAGGCGCGCAGTTTCAGCGGTGCAGACGAAAAGAATACAAAACCAGAGTCCACCACGGATGGTGAAGAGAAGCCGCTGCTGTCCGACCAGGACAACTGCGCTGATCTCGCGAGTTGGCGTGAAGATGTTAATATCATGAACGATGTGCAAGTCGAGCGTGAGGAGGAGCTGATCATTTACAAGGAACGCCTGGAGCAGTCCGAAATTAGCAACATCGAATTGCGCAAAGAGATATCTGTGCTGCGACTCAAACAGCCAATGGTCAATGATCATAGTCTGTTATTTCGTCGGGCTCTGCCGTTGGGCTGTGTGGCGCTGGCAGCGATTATCTACTTTTTGTCCATTCGCTTTTAACAGCCGGAAATCACCACAGCAAAAACATCGTACCTACAGCAAAACGAGATTCAACAAACATATATACGATATACATCTTGTGGGGTGGGGACATGCGAGGGCGCGTGTTGAATGCTGGATGTGAACTATATATATAAAAAAAAATTCAAAATATGGAAGTGGATGTAAAGTATGCAAATCGGATGGACGCAGTTATACAGTTACAATATTTATATATCTAAACGAGCATATATATATAAATTTATATGTGTATATATATATACATATATATCACTCTATATCCTATATATATGTATATATATATATATGTGTATAAACATATATATGCATCTATATTTACAATTGAGCTTTACTCGCCATTTTCTATTCTGTTCTATCTTTCTCATATTTTGGACCACAAAATTTTTAGTTGTGACATGAAATTGAAACGAACAAAAATCAACAAAAAACTATAACAATAAAAAAATAATCCACATGCGCGCACATATATATACATATATTCATACATACCACCTACCTACATACATACACACTCACACACCCCCACACATGGTTAGTTAATTCGGAAGTAATTATATTTAATGAAATTTCCCTGAATGACTTTTGATATAAACCTTACTTTTTTAATGGTGCGATTTAAATATATGAGAAACCTTCGAATTGTGTACAAATTTAGAAGAGCAGAGGCGCCTAGAAATCGGCTTGGCGGCGAATCGATCATTAAGTTTAGCATTAAGTTGCAATTATTTACCATTACCAGCTATGTTTTATGAAACACTATATTTACGTATGCTAAATGTTGATTTATGTACTATAATTTAGTTGATTTTTATTGTCTGGCGTCTCATTGTAAGCGAACGTGCGTGTAAAACATTTATATATATATTCCGAAGTGAAACGAAACAAATTTTGAAAAATGCTTGCGATATCACAAAAACAAAACAAAACACTTAATGTATGCAAAAAAAAACGAATACAAATGAATAAACACACAACACAATAACGAAACGAAGGCATTTGCAAATATTTTTCTACCTTTAAAGTAAAAAATATACAAATAAACAGTTTGAGGAAGACTACTAAGTTTGAATTTGGCGCTTAAATGTCATATGTATGCGCGAAATGCTCTAAGTAACAGCATTGTAAGCTTGTTGTGTTGAATACCGAGCACCTTATCGAATATGTTTATCGTCTGTGAAAACGGCCACACTGCGGCTTGTGGATTTTAACAGTTGATAGATGCAGTCACACGCAGCAGTCTGGTCGGGTTCTCTGTGGTGCGCACGGTTGTTTAAGCGGTGCATTTCCTCCTTTATCTGTGGTATTTAATCAAGTATATAAATTAAATGTGAATTTATTGTGAAAAACATTTGTTTGAGCAATAGCGGCTGCATTAATTAGTACATGTGTTTGCTTCGCGTTGCAATTGGTGTTCGACAATGCTGTAGACTTAAGAGCCAAGCTATTTGCAGTGGCGACTAGAGATGAGCGATTCTGTGACTTTTTAAAAAGTCACTGTGTCAACTGTTCCTGTGACTGAACTTTAACACATCTGTAGCAAAGCAAAATATCATGTGACGCTTGCCAAATGCCTTTTACTTTCAATTCTTAACGTACTAGCGAAAAGTCACAGGTACACACATACATATAAAAAATCGCTCATCTCTGGTGCGCTTATGTGAGGTGGGCGTGACGCTAGGCGGTAGCGGCAACGGCAACGGCGACCAAAGTGAAATGCAAAGAAAGACGGGATTAAATACAGTGAAATAAAAGCGTTGCAAAAGTTTCCAGTATTATTGCAAATTGCATGTTCTTTCTCTTTTGTGTTTCTAGCTAAAGGCCAACAAAATCACAAGTTGCGCTTGTGTGCGTGCGTGTGTGTGTGTGTGAGTGTGTAAAAAGAGTAAAGCAGAAGCGGCAATAACAACGACTAACCACAACGAGAGAGCGCAACTCTGTTTCTGCTTGCAGATGTGGAAATAACTAGCCGAAAATATAATAAGAAAGCAATAAGACAACGAAAACTGCCTTGCTGGCTTAGCGGATTTACCATCGTCGACGTCGTCAACGTTGTTACAAAAATACAAAAAAAAAGAAAGGTAAGACTCTGTCGTGTACAAAATGAATGCATATGAAATATTGCGACTTTTGACATTACTGTGCAGCAAAACGACAAATGTTGCGTTGATTGAGTGAGTGTGCAAAAGTGTGTGTTCGTGTTTGGTTGTTTGAGTTTGTGCAAGTGTATAACAGATAAGCCGCATTCTCTGATAATAACAGCTGAAGTTGCGTAGTCCAAGTCAGTGTGTCACATTGAGGAGTCAGCATGCAGCAGTTCTCGAAAGAAAAAGAAGAAAGTAAATTAAGCTATAAATATAACTATAACTTGTGGCAGTCTTTGTCGATTTTATAAGAGAATTAGGGGAAATAATCTTGAAAATAAAAATAATACTTTTTTACTTTAACAACTAGCAACTGTTTCACACTCTTATACTTCTCAGAAAAAGTAAATAACACGTATATTCTGTTATATTGATTCATTGAAAAGGGCAAAGGAAATGGGTATTCTTAACATTGATATTTGAATGAAATTGCCTATTGCCCATCGCCTATCGATCTCTTATAGAGTTAAGAATCTGTAGATGGACTCCCAATATTATATTCAACAATGTCGCATGACCAAATATCAACAAAGACTCGTTTTTGGTAACTAACTTGTTTTTGCCATAACGACGAAAAAACGAAAAGCAAAATACGAAAGCAAAAACAACAAAGCCAACATTTATTAATTTATTTAAGCTATCATATTTGCAAAGCGTATTACTTATAAATATTTTTTGCGCCACTTATCACAAGTAAACATTCGACACATTCATAATTCCATTGCTCTTTGCTGCCTATCTCCAAAAAAGTCTGCCCGCTCTCTAGTATTCGGTTTTGTGCGCTCTTCGTGCTTGTTGCTTTTTTTGCCTTTTGCTTTTTGCCTATCTTCTAATTACACATACAGCACAAGTTAATGAATTCTTCGCTTAGTGTGTTTGCTGTACAGTTTGAAAGTTCTCTAGAAATATGTGTGACTGATGATTCATAACGGTTAACACGCTTATTGCCGTTTACCTTTTGCTGTCGCGTTCAGTCGCTAGAATACGTGTGTGCTAGCAACATAACATCTTGGCAACATTGTTGCCAGCATCCTATAGCGCTGCCAATGAACTTTTCCACAAATAAACAAACAAAAAACTTTCACTTAGCGAGCCCATTGAAAGAGATAAATGGCATAAGATAGCCGCCGCCAATTGGCCAATATCCATGACGTGCCACGCACGCAGCCCCCAAATAATCCAAACAGTCAATTAAAAATGACAGCGCACCGATTGCGAAAAGTGAAAAGCAATCAAAAAAAGCAACAACAAAAACAAAATAAACAAAAAATACAATAAGACGAAGAAGAAATGAAAATAAAATACACATAATTGCTTATAAAACACCCACGTTGCTCGCACGCCGGCTGTGACGTCATTTGACGGCAAGCCAAAATTGGCAGCTTGCCAGCAACACGCACATGTATCTATACATACGATTATAGCTAAGCAAAACGATCAGCTGGCAACATGTAGACATATTCTAAACAACATTATATTTGATTGCAACTTGTGGCTCTGCGGTCTTGTGGCGTGTTAAATAACAGATGCCACAAAATAGCCATAAACAATTATACTGTGAAAAATTAGCTAACTGTTTATTTTCCTACGCCAGCTGACTATGACGACGAGACTTGGAGATCCGATTACCAGACAGTCTAGTAAAATGTGTCATGCCATGCAAGTCTCTGTGTGTGGGTGATAAGAAATTAGCAATATCAAGTCGAGCCACAAATGCGCTTGCCAAGTGGGAGTTCATTATATGATTATATATGCATATGCCTATTTATGTATATGCGTCTAAAGATATTTATCGTTAATCATTGCTGCAAATAAATTTGGCATTATAGTTTTCAATAGTTATATAAAACCGGAGATTTATTTGAATACGTATATATAGTGTAAACAGTATCAATGATCCCGAAATCGTTATTGTTATATTTTATTAAAATTATACATATATTTTAAACGAGTTTTTAGTTTAGTTAACATTTCTGTTCAGTAACATATTCAAATACAGTTAGGGAGTTGTGTTGCTAAACATTTAAAGGAGCGTCCCAGCGAATGGGAATGGTATAATTTGCAATGTTGCTAGCAACATACTAAAAGGAACAAAGCCACTGCAACACTTAACAGACCGCATGACGTCACTGACCGCAGCAGGCAGTTCAATGGCTGTCGCCAAGCCTCAGCCGCTCCTTTATCAAACATACACACACATATATATATATATATATATATATATATATATATATATATATATATATATATATATATATATTTATGTATGTACAGTATAAACTATGACAAAGCGCTTAGCTCGCCGCGCACTTGAGCCGTGCATTAAATCCGAGTATCAAAAGCCAAAACAAGTGAAACAAACAGCCATAAACAATGCAAAAGTGACGCGACTTTTAGCATTGATTGTTTTTCGGCTTTTAACGACAAGTTTTTTTTTGTTTTATTACTCCCCACCACGGCTGAAACTGCTCCTTTTGCAGACTTTTTGTTTACAGGCCTAAAGAGCTTCAAATATCAATGAGTTGCAACGGTTTTAATTTATTGTTGTAAGCAAAAACACTTGAAGAAAAACATAAGACACTTCACTAAATAAATATGTTTTAAATGAAAAAGAAATTGAAAATTGGTAGCTCAGTAGAATAATTAATATTAATATAAATATACAAAATATAATAAATAATAAATCTAATAAAAATAAATTAAATTAATTAATTAAAAAAATTATAATATATATTTATATATATATGTATATATAAATATATATATATATATATATAAATATATATATATATATATATAAATATATATATATATATATATAATTTTATTCAGTTTATTTAAGGAACGAAATTTACTTCAAACTTTAGCCAATCTTACATCAAATCTAGCTTTCTTTCAGTGTATGCATAACAGCAGTTAGTTGCTTTTCTTTTTGTGTACTGCTCATGTTACAGTAAACACTCGAATATGTGGCCCGTGTCAACTTTCACTGTATTGGGCTTTTGAGTTTATTTCATCTGTGTTTTAATTAGAGCCATTGCTTTGTTTTAATTTTATTAGTTTTCCTGCTGTTGGGCAGCTAAATTGCAAATTTTTGATAGCGCCTCGAGGCGCCCATCGCACAATTTAGTATATTTTAATTTCTCTGCTTTGCTTTTGAAAGTTTTGCAAGACAAAGAAAGTCGCATGGGCATGCAAATCTGATTGAAAACCAGCTGAGCTGAGCTGAGTTGAGCTCGGCTTGGCTTGGCTTAAATTAGAAATTCCAAAAGAATTCGGCATAGGAATTACCAATTAAAGTGGGCTACTGTTATTGGCAGCTAAAACTTGTTTTTTTTTCTTTTTTTTTTCTAAAATTCCCCTCTTATCGCTGTTGCCATTTATTTCATTTAACATTGTCGAAGCGAGTTTCCTTAAGTTATTTTTGTATTTTTTTATTTACTTAGCTGTCGTAGGTAAATGTTGATAACAGGTAGCATTGGCTAACAAGTTCCGCTTAGTGACTTTGCTAATTAGAAATAGTTTCTTCGCTTGGATCAATAAACCCAACTACTGGAATAACAAACTACTTTCTAGATGTAGTAAAACCTACTTTGTTTATATGAAAGAATTATTTTATGTTATTTTTATCGCTGTTTTTATTTATTTTTTTATGTATATATAGGTTATGTTTTTTGCTCAATTTTAATGAAACTTTTTTATGTTATAAACATATTTCATATAAAAAGAGCGCTAAATTTGAATACTAGTCAAATATGACTTGGTGCATGCAATGGGTTAAAGATAATAACTTGATAAATTGCTAAAGGCCTGGTCTTTATCGTATATTACAATACAATTAAGCTGCCTATGATGTGCCATTACTTTTTTAATATTCCTATGTAGCTATGCTTAACATAGTGTAGACTAACATCAACTTAACATTTACTCCAACATATGTCTTTTAGATTGATTTGTATATTTTAATTGTCTACTTTAAGTCTTCAAATTAGGTTTTAAATCTATTTTGAATGCCGAAATGAGCATAGAAATAAATGATTACTTATCAATTATAAGCAGTTCAGGTCAATCTAAAAAATATATTTTCAGTGTCTGGGACTGAATTTATTTATATATTTATATATATATATTTACGCAGAATTTTTTCACTTTTGTATAAAAGTTATCTTAATGAAATTTTGAATTATAAAAACCATTCGCTGAAGTGTTTGATTTCAATCTGCGTCATCATATTTAGCATTTGTGGTATGTTTGATATTGTTTAAGCAATTGCGTTTTTATCATTATTTATAATCATAGAATTCATTAACTGATATCTGATATTTATGGCGTTTAAAGTAATATTTATTTCCTGAGATTATAATTTATCTATATGTACATATATAATATATAAGCAAATATCATGTTGCCAAAAGCCGATCATAATCTCCACTGCAGCAAGTTTGCTTATTTATATTTGATAAAAAATATAGTATAATATGAATTTATTTATATATATATTTGCTGATAACAGAATTCACTAGAGAAACAAATAGATTTTATAAGCAACACGAGCTTCTGTTTGATCGCTCAGTAATTAAATGTCAAATAACGAGGCGCACAGCTGTTATTCGACTTGCAGCAGACTCTTTTCATCTCTCTTTCCCTCTCTTTCTAAATATGACTCTGCTGCTTCCGTTTTATTCAGCTTCTTTACCGGCATTTCAAATATGCTGTGTTGGCTTATTTTGAAACACACATATTAAGCTGCCTTTATATTCGGCTCAACTGAACAACTTTATTTGCCAGCGTTTGGCGACCTTGCGCTGAAACCAAAAACATGGATCTGCGAATTGGGAATTGAGAATGGGGAATAGGGAATTGGGGACTGGAAATGAATTCATTTGCTGTTCGCATTTGGTCTGCTAATGAATTAAACATGAAAAACAGCCAAATCG